TCGCTCTTCCTGCTGTTTGCCAGAAGAAAAAGAAATTAAAAAAGAGTTGAGGAAGGCCAATGCAAGTGCCCTTAATAGTCTTTTCCCTAATTTAGACTTTCCTTCAGGCTCCTCTAGTCTTATCTCTGGGATAAATGTTTGTATAGGTTTCCTGTCTTGCAGGAGCCAAATAGAAAATGAGGAGAAAGATGTTCAGAATCTACCTCCCTCTATTCCCTAGACTTCCCATGAAGAAGACAATCACTGGGTCATCAGGACTGGCTTGTGTGCACTGTTTGATTTTGTTTTTCTAACTAGACAGAGGCCTCCGGTCAGCAAGAACCACATCTGGTATTCATCGGGCTACCCTATCACTAGCCTTGCTTATAGCAGGCATTGTGCTTCCTGGGGTATTGCAGGAAGGCCCACTGCTATGGTTTGAGTGTATGCCTCAAAAGTTTATGTGTTGGCCAGAAGATGGAAAGACCACCCATGATCATGAATGGACAGGATTAATATCATGAAAATAACCATATTACTAAAAGCAATCTATGTAGCTGCAGTATTCAATTCTATCCAATGCAATCCCCATCAAAATTCCAATGACATTATTCACAAAACTAAGGGGAAAAGGGAAGCCAATCCCAAATATCATATAGGAAACAGAAAAGATTGTGAGTAGACAAGGCAGTCCTGAGCAAAATAGCCATACTAGAGGTATTACAATACCTGAGAGACATAGTAGCAAAACCAGCAGGGTATTAACACAAAAATAAACATGTAGACCAAGAAAACAGAATAGAAGACCCAGAAATAAACCCACAGCTATCTGATTCTCAATGGAGGTGGCAAAGACATCCATTGAATAAAAGAGAAATGCCTTCTTTAGCAAATGGTGCTGGGAAAACTGGATATCCATATATGGAAGACTGAAACAATCTCTTCTTCTGTACAGAAACTAATGCGGAATGGATAAAGATCTCAATGCAGTTGAGTTGAGTTCCCTTTAAAGACAGAGGCTGACTCCCTGAATTAAGGCTCTAATAGCTCTAGTAAAAAAAAAAATAGTAGTACCATGTGACCATCACATTAAAAAGCTTCCTCACAGCAAAATAAAAAAAATTAACAGAGGGAAGAGACAGCCTACAGAAAAGGAGAACATTTTTGCCAGATATTCATCTGACAAGGCATTAATATCTATAGTATATTAATAACATAACATTAACATTTAAGCCCCAAAGTAGAAATAACCCAGTCAATAAATGGATAAATGAACCAAATAACTAACTTTTCAAAAGAAGCACACATGGCTAATGAGTAATTTTTTTTTTTAATTCAACAACTTTAGCTGTCAGGGAAATGTAAATCAAAATGGCATTGAGATTTCACCTCATCCCAATCAGAGTGGTTATCATCAAGAAAACAAACCACAAACTATGGAAGGTGTAGAGGAAGGGAATCCTTGTATTCTGTTAGTAGGAATGTAAATTAGTACAGCCACTATGGAACTCAGGATAAGTTTCCTCAAAAAAAAAAAGAACAAATAGAACTAACATAAAACCCTGCCACACCACTCCTACTACACACTTAAACAAATCAAAGTCAGCATACAGTAGAGACACCCCACACACATTTCTTGAAGGTACCCAAGACCTGAATGGATGAAGAAACTGTGGGATATATACACAGTGGAGAGTTATTTAGACAAAGTTAAATTTGATTATTTGTAGGAAAGTGAATAAAACTGGAGATCATTATTTTAATACAAATAAGACAGACTCAGAAAGACAATTCTTTTTTTTATAATTTTACTTTTTGGGTCATTCATGTGGCTTGAATTCAGGGCCTGGGCACTATTCCTAGCTCTCTTTGCTCAAGCCTAGCTAGCACTCTACCACTTTGACCCACAGCTCCAGTTTTCTAGTGGTTAATTGCAGATAAGAGTCTCATGGTCTTTCTTCCTGGATTGGCTTCAAACCACAATATTGGTATCTTAACCTCCTGAATTGCTAGGATTGCAGGCGTGAGCCACTGGTGCCCTGAAGAAAGACAAATACTTCATGTCATCTCATATGCAAAATCTAGGCTTAAAAGAAGACATAAAAATAGAAGAGGACTAGCTGGGAATGCCCTGAGTTCAAGCCCCAGGACTGACAGAAAGAAAGAAAGAAAGAGAGAGAGAGAGAGAGAGAGAGAGAGAGAGAGAGAGAGAGAGAGAGAGAGGAAGGAAGGAAGAAAGAAAGAAAGAAGAAAAAGAAAAGAAAGAAAGAAAGAGAGAGGAAGGAAGGAAGGAAGGAAGGAAGGATTGAAAGAAAAGATTATTTGGGGATAGGAAGGGGACCAGCAGGGGTAGAAGATGGGGACAAGTGAGGGTAATGGATCAATATGATCAGAGAATATTGTTATATACAATTAATGCATGCTATTAATTTTTAAAAGAGTATTTGCGCATTGGAACTGTACTTCCTCAAAGCTGCAGCACTGGGCGGTGAGGGCAGTGGAAGTTGAGGTGGGTGGTGTGGAGGCCTCAATGAACTGTTTCCTACCTTTCTCACAGGAATGGCTTACCTACTGCCAAAGTCCAGTCCTTTTCCTCCTCTGATCCCATCTGTGTATCTCTCTGTTTTCCACCATGAGTTGAAGCAGCAGGAGACTCTTACCAAGCTGATGCAGTGTCCTGTTCTTGGACGTTCCAACTTGTAAGATTGTGTGCCAAAGTACACTTGCACTTAGTATAAATCAGCCAGTCCCGAGTGATTTATATGAAATGAACTCAATTACTCCCTGCCTCAGGAAAGGGGTTCCTGTACCCAGAAGAACCCAAATCATGCTGGCCCTCCTCCCTTAGTCTTTTCCTTAGCCCAGAGGTGGAACTTTCATGGTACAAAATAATGTCTTCTGTCTTCAAAGACCCTTCTCATTGTAAAGCCAGTTGTCTGGGTTCTCATCCTTGCATTGTACAGAGCTCTGAAAGTATGCCAGGTCCTGTGTTTGGTGTTGAGAACAGGGAAAGGAATCAAGGAATGTTTTCCTTTCCAAACCCAGACCTGAACCAAAACGAATCAAAACAAAACAAAAGGCAAACCTAGACAATTATAATACAATACAAGAAAACAGAGTCCATCCCCTGAGGGGCTTCTTAGAGCAACTTTCTCTTGAAGGATGATTTGGAGTTAGGTAGGCAGGCTTTAAACTTTTCCACTCACCTCTTTCACTAAAGTGTTCAGGCATGTTAGGCTTTCCCGGCTCACCACAGGGGATGCCTGTGGCCCTGCTGGGTGGTGCCTGACTCACTAACAAGGATGGTGAAGAAGGGCTGAATACTTGGTGTAAAGTGCTCAGCCTTCACAACCCAGGATATCGAATTTTCCCTTGTTTGTTTTCAATCCCCAGAATCTTCATGTTGTGAAAACGAATGGGTGTCTATTACAGTATCCCAGTAAAGCCATTCTAAATCTGTTTCCTTATGCTTTATCAAAATCTATATGTCACTGCCTACTGGGGCTTCTTATAATCTCAGCCTTGCCAGTGACACCACAGTAAGAAGGGGGTGCTCTTCCTTACAAAATCAACTAACGGGTGTTTGAGTTAGTTCATCAGTCTTGCTGTGCTGCAGTACAACTTGAAGTTGTCTCCTCTCGTCTAGTCTTGGTTTTGCCTCCCCATTTTGAAGATACAGAATGAATCAGCCAGTTCTTTACTTTGCTAAATGCTTGCTAACCTTGTGAATCAGGAATTATGTTGAACTCAGAGCCTCACATTGTCATTTGGCTTTTTTGCTCAAGGCTGGAGCTCTAGCTCTTGAGCTACACCTCCACATGTAGCTTTTGTGTGGGTAATTGGAGACAAGAGTTTCACAAACTTTTCTGCCCAGGCTGACTTTTGAGGTTTAGCATCAGTAAGCCTGAGCTACCAGCACCCTTCCATTCTTTCTCCTATTTCTCCATGAAGTCTTCAGTCCTTTCACAGAAGCGATTAATAAAGGAAATTCCTTGCATTCAACCACCAAAGGGAATTCAGGAGCCTAAAATATCAAGTTAAGAATAAACAAAACCCTTAGGTTCCTGATAGTTATCAGCCAACTCACCTCACTATCGATGACCCTTGAGTGTTTGCGCAGGTAACCTGTAGACGCATAGCCAGAATTCAGGTCTGGGACAGCCCAAGGGGAGCCTCCTTGTCCTTCTCAGGGCCAGTTTGTCTCCCTTTGGGCCATGGCTACAGTGGCCATTTACCCTTCCACTCATGCCTTAGACCTGGCTGCATTCAGGGACTCTTGTCCCTTATTTCCGTGGCCCATGCTGCAGCTTCTTAGATGTCAGCTTACAATCTAACTCCGAGTTCCTTCCCTCCCTCATCTAAACCCCACTTTTCCTCCTGGTCTGCTTATCTCAGTCAGTGATGTCACCCTCCAGCCAGGCTGAGGAGCTATGGGGAGCAGGCCCTCCCTCTAGTCACTCATTCCTAGGTGATTCTACCCCCTAATTATTTCTGTTCCTGGGCCTTTCTCCTTTCCTCCCCAAGGCATTCTCTTGCTCTGGCATTCATGGTGTGTGTGTGTGTGTGTGTGTGTGTGCGTGTCTGTCTGTCTGTCTGTTTGTGTGAGGGGGGAGATTGCTGGAGATTAATCCTAGGGCCTTGCACATGCTAGTTTTGTCCCTGAGTATTGATTATCCCCATCCCCTACGTGGTCACTTGGGTGCTTTTTTTCCAGCTTCCATACTACCCCTCTCCTTCAAAGCTTGCCTTCACCTCAGGTCCTTTTCCAGTCCCTTGAGATGATAAGCAAGCACCTTTTCAGTCTCATTGGTGACTGCTTTTCTAGGCTCCTGCACTTTGTTCCAGAACACCTCCCTCCAGCCAGGCCTACACATCTTGTTCTTTCACCACTCCAGGCTCTCTCTCTCTCTCTAGCATTAACCCTACCTGAAATCCCTGTCCACCTGCCATCCTCACCATACAGCTCAAATGTCATCTCCCCTGGATGTCGGTGGGTCTTCCACAACATTTCATTCAAGTGTGTTTCTTCTGTCTCCTCAGAAAGACTCTCCAGCACCTGAGTCAAGAGGGCTGACTTTCATTGGGGGGCCTTTTTATCGGTAGATGTAGATAGTCAACAAATGTGTATTCAGTGAATTGACTGCTAAGTGGAAATCTAGGGCCAATGTTGCTCAATTGCAGATGCTGTATCAGGAAAAGAAAGCAGACAGCCCTAATCATCTTGTACGTGGAGGTCTGGACACCCAAGCTTGATTAATATTTATATTTCATATGGGTGCCGTTTATTTTTGGTATAGATTTTTTTTACAGTTTTTTTATAAATTATTTTACTGTTTTAGAGATGATATACAGTGGGGTAGCTTTACATACATCAGGTAATAAGTTCGTTTTCTATTGCATAGCCTCTTTTCTACTTTGCTTCTTTTCTTGCCCAAATGATAGTTTTGTTTTATGTGGAGGCATTGTTTTTCTTTGTCCTGATTTTTCTCTTATTTGATCTTTTCTTTAAATTAAATGGATTTAGAATCAGTGAAGAGTAAAAAGTGAGGAAAATCAAATGAATGAGGTTAAGTTCATAAAATTGGTGTTACTCAAAAATCACCCAAAATGCATTTCTGATATTTAAATGGCCCCTGAACCAATGAAACACAGCCAAGAATCAGGTTGAACTATCCCTTGAAACTTTTCCTTCAAAATGAGAGTTTGTGTGTGATACTGTTGCAAGTTTCCAGTTAGGGAGAAAAACAACAGTGAGATAGGCAGAGACTGGGCCTGTCCACGAGTGTTGTGACATTAAAGTGCCAAAAACCAAACAGAAAATCCTTAATAACAATAATCACAACTAAGCAACACATGAACAATTCTATTCTCATCCAGCCTACCTTATTAGCCAGCTCGTTTGTCTTTGGAAATTTAGCATCTTTTCCTTTTATTTTTGGTTGTGGAAAACATATGCCATTTTAAGCACTGTGGGCTTGTGGGATCCTAGGGTGAAATTCTCCAGTTTTTTGGATCATCTCCCACGGTCCCGGAAGGGCCTTTTTTTTCTTTTTCTCTTTTCTTTTTTTGTTCTTCTTGCTTTAGTAATCTTTATAGAGTGTGTGAACTTTGAATTTCCTGTGTCCCTGGAATGCTATTAGAGATCTATTTGTATATTTACATTTTGAAACATTGCAACAAGAAAAGCTTGGTTTTTCTTTGTTACTGGAAAAAAAAATGCATCCTATTTGCTAGTCGAGGAAGTCAGGAAAACTGGCTTCTGGGGGGGAGGGTGGCAGATGTTAAATCCCTTATTGCCTGTTAATTACTGTGCCAAGTGCTTGAGACATTATCTTATTGGTTTAGAGACCGTGGGCAGCCTTACATTGAAAGCTATGTTTTGCTGATTATTTTGGAGATGGAGTCTAGCAAACTTTTCTCCCTGGGCTGGCCTTGAACTTCGATCTTGCGGAGGCTTAGATTACAAGCATGAGCCACTTGTCTAGAAAGTTGTTTTGCATTGAGAACACTTAAATCCTGTACCAATGGAAGTTATTTCACACTTCCTCTTAAGAGGCTCTCAACTTTGATTAACAGTTTTTAAAAATATGTATAATCCCTGAAAAAAAATCTTCTCACTGTTATATGATTTAATATGATAAATCTTTGAAAGATTTAAAGAGGATAATGAAGAGTCCTTTGCCAGGGATAAGCTAGAAAATGGGAAGATGTATTTGTGACTTGTGTGTGATTATTACTGTTGATTTTTGAGCACAGACATCTTTGTCAACAGACTTGGTCTGGCATGTGGAAGTGGAGATGTAGCTCAAGTGGTAGAGTACCAGCCTCAAGTGAAAAAGCCAAATGAGAGCCCAAGGCCCAGAATTTAAGCTCCAGTAGCAGTTAAAAAAAAAAAAGGAAAGAGGAGGAGGAGGAGGAGTGGGGGAAGAGAAGAAACTTGCACATCAGTTCTCCATTACTATGACAGAATACGCAAGACAATCATAAAGAGGGAAGTTTCATTTTTGCTAATCATTTTCAAAGTTTCCATCCATGAGCTGTTGGTCTTGTTGCTCTGGGCCTGTACTAGCACATCTTGGCAGGAGTGAGTGGTAGAGCAAAGCGGTCCCCTCATGGCTGGACTGTGGAAGATAAAAAGGAAGCAACCAGAGTCTCACAAATCTCTTCATGGACTCACTCCCAATTACTTCATACCTCCCAGCCCTTAACGTTTCCAACACCTGCTATCATGTGACTCTGAGGACCAATGCTTTAACATAGGTCTTTAGAAGGCATGTAAGATCCAAATTCTAGCACTTGGATCAAGAACTCATTTCAGCTTCTGTCAAATGGCCAGTCTCATCAGCGTGAAAGAAAGCCCATTACCAGACAACTGAGCCTATGGGCACCGTTTCATGAAGGACAATGGTGGTTTGTCCTTCAACGACAACAAGGATTGCTTTGCTCACAGCAAGTCAGGGAGAATATTCTGGATTATTATGCAGTCTTTCAGATCAACGACATCTTCTTTTTCTTAAGTTGATAAAACTGAATATTGATTCCTCATAGTTCTGGAGACTGGAAAGTCAAGATTAAGGCACCAGTGGATTCAGGGCTCCATAAGCAGCTGTGGTTCCTCATGTTTGAGATGAACACTCTAGATGAGGTGGTGGGGTGAAAGTCTGAAGAACATCAACATCGCTTTTGTAATGCTCCACGATCCTTAGCAAATGCCTTCCTCCTTTGTGCACACCAGTGTGGTGGGGCTTTCCTCAGATGCTGTTCTCTAAAAGCATCTACTGTCCTGTTCACCCTCCCTTAGCAATTAAGTAAACATCCAAACCACAACAGATAAGGGAGCACAGGCGCTACTTCCAGAGCAACACACTGCCAGATCAACTTCATCTTTGTCTCTGATTTGGAGATGTGCAGATCTAGCAGGAAAATCTTCCAGTGCCATTTGGGGACAAGGTAAATGGTACTAGTCTGGGGGAAATGTGTTAGCCTGTGGCTTGTGGATGTTTCTGATCTGAAATGTGACCAGTTGGATTTTTGAGAATCATTTTTTAAAGGATTATTATAGTTAGAACAGAGAGAGCCAGGGATTTGGATCACTTGACAAAAAATCTTAGATCCATGAAAACTTTGCACTAATCAGTTCAAGAGCCACCATCCATATGCAAATCTATTTCAGTTCATTTATTTGCTGATTTACTTATTTGCTGGTACCAGGGTTTGAACTCAGCGACTCCTTCTGTCTCAGTTTGTTTGCTTTGCTTTGCTTGAGCCATGCTTCCAGTCCAGTTTTTCATTGGTTATTTTTGGAGATGGAATCTTAAGGACTTTTCTTGTTCAGACTGACCTTGAATTATGCTTCAGATTCCAGCCTCCTGAGTAGCTAGGATTACAGGCTTGAGCTATAGGCACATGGCTCTATAAATTAGTGAAAATCACATGAAATAAAGCATTTAGGCCTTGTTACACTGACCATATTGGTACGCACAATTGCTGGATGTGGTGGCCATTATCATGTTAGACAGGAAAGATACAGAATATTTCCTCCAAGGTAGAAAATTCTAAGTGCAACCACAGAATAAGTAAATAATCTTTTTTTTTTTTTTTTTTTAAATCTACAAAAACAGGATTAAAGCAGGTACTGGTGGCTCATGCCTCAGTGGCTGAGATGTGAGGATCATGGTTCAAAGCCAGCACAGGCAGAAAAATCCATGGGACTTTTATCTCCAATTGACCACCAGGAAATTGGAAGTGGAGCTGTGGTTCAAAGTGCTAAGCACAAACGCTAAGGGATAGTGCCCAGGACCTGAGTTTAAGCCCCACAGCTGAAAAAAAAAGGGGCGGGGCTAAAAGAACTTCAAAGGACTGCTTTGAGATTTAAATTACATCTATATCTATCTATCTAGATATATCTGTGTCTTTAGGTGGTTGTCCAAAGGAGCCTCAATTCAAAATGTCAGTTTGTGAGTACAATGTATCTTGATGTCATTTTTTCATCTTTCTCCTCCTCCATCTCTCCCAAACCCACCCATCCACTTTTACATATGTGCATTAAATATTGTCATTGTCTTAGATCACCCTCCTGTCTCCCTTCTTCCGTCTCTCCTTGCTCTCATCCCCAACGCCACAACATATTATGTTCTAGCTTTCATGGTAGTCATTTTAAGTTAGCTGTTCAAAGGAATTACACCACTGGGATCCTTCTATGCGTATGCCATACTTTAGTTAGTATATTTTGTGTGAATAGTCATATGACTCAGTTATATGTTTAAATATATATTAAATGAGATTTTTTAACTGTATGTAAAACATTTATTCCATTGCCCGGTATTTTATAGAAAACATCTGGTCTGATTGAAACTTTTGACAAGCTCATTCAGACTTAGGTCAAAAGCATTTGTACTTTAAAAAAATCCTATAACCAGGGCTCTAATAATGTTAGAGCACTTACCTAGCATTATGTCCATGAGGCTCTGAGTTCCATTCCTAGGACAGCAACAAAGTCAAACAAAAACAAAAACAACAAACACGTAAAGTACCAACCTAAAAAACATTTTGGACCAATCTTCTTAGGAATCACATTATTTTTACAGGAGTGAGTCACTCTTCACTGTACTGGATAAAATCCTTTCTCAGGTTGGTAAGAAGAGTAAATCCTTTCCTTTCTTGAGATCCTTTCTATCTGAATAGGAAAAAAGGAAGTAAGAGGCTGCTTTCAGAAAGAACAGCTCTAGCCCTAAAACAATCTTTTTCAAAAAATCAAGTAAGATGAACAACTTTTTCAGAGATGTTTAGGTGGAAGATATCAACACAGCTTTGGGTCTAGACAGGCCAGCTGGCTGTTCTTGTGGGAACTGTGTATATTCACATGGGTAATTATCCTAAGCTACAGCTGCTAACATGATTTTGCAAATTCCCTGCTTGCAAAGGACTGATCATCGCCTCAAGAATGGGCCTAAATGTCTTGCAACTGCACAGACCTACCTGAGCTTCTCCTGCCACCGGGCTCTTTGAGGTCTTTCGTAATTTGCATTCCTTGGGCAAATGGAATTTAAATTCCTTGGGCAAATTTCATCCTGATGGAACACCAACATGACATGTGTGCTGTGATCTCACTGTTTAGGATTTTTGTTTTATAATCATTGATGGATGCTCTAACAGGCAGATGAGGTAAAGCGTTTGGGTGCTATTCTGCTTCATCTTTAGACATAGCCCTTGCTTTTTCAAGTATCTTTACAAAGAACAATAGCATTTCATGATATTCTTTGTGGTGGGAAGTGGAGAGTATTACAGAGAACATCAAAAGCAGAATAGGCTGCAGGCTAAGAAGCCTGTAAGTTAATGTGCCTTAGTATTCAGGACATAAGAGTAGTGAATAAGATCACAGTCTTATATAATAGTAGTAGTAGTACTAGTAGTGAGTAATGAATAAGACTAATGGTTTATAATCAGACTACATGTCTAATCATTCTTGCAATGGGGCAAAATCATATTCTTCTGTTTCACAATAAGTGGAATCTTTATCTATTTTAAATTATTTGATTTGCTGGACAGCACAAATATGACTTCACCAACAATCTGAAACAAAACTTCTTAATTCCTTTTTCGTCATTTCAATACTGGGACATAGACTACAACTTGCTACAGGTCATTTTCCTTGTTCTTTGCCATTCTGATTGGCTCTGAGAATTTTGCCTCCCACTTAGGAAAAGATCTGAGGTGATGCATCTGAGCTGGAATGACAGTTCTAGATTTTCTGGGCCAGGGGACTTCAGTGTGTCACTCATCTCTGTAGCTATACCTTGCACATAGACTGGTGACATTGTACTTCACAGGGTACATGTGAGGCTTAAGTAAGTGCATGAAGGGTCGTGTGGACACAAGTGTGTAACTATAATATCCACACACCTCTACACTCAAAAGGATCATTAGCTCCTTTCATTTTTCCTTAGATTTTACATCTCCAAAATTCCACTTGTCTTCATAGTTTTGCCTTGCAAAACGTTTAATTCCGTGCACCAATGGGTAGGTGAGGTACTTTTGAGTGAAAAACAATCTTCCATTGAGCTTTGTTTACTGAAGATCTCTGCTCCCCTTATGGTAACCCATCTCAGAGCTCACTACCTACCATTATTTCTAGTGGAATAAGTTGGTGCAGGTAAATGATACAAGGGCAGGCAAGGCATTACTAGCCTTGCTCAGGCTCCCTTTCAGCGCTGGCTGAGCACTTTGGAAGGCACAGAGCTGGTGCTGAATAGCTCACTAAGAGAGTAAGCAAATGCACTGTGTCAAAAGCAACTTAAGTCCACATGGGTGTCTGTGAGGCTCCTGCACCCCCCGAGGGTCTATGTGTGTAAACCTATTAGTAACTTAAGAGATTCAGGACTTCAGACAAGTCTGTGATATTCTTGCCAGAGACATTTTGATCTTAAACCCAATGTGGGGGCTGAGACAAATAAAAATAAATACATCAAAGCCTTTGTTGTGCCTTTAAAAACATTATAAGACTGGCATGTCCCCTACTTTCTACGAATAAATATTGGTGAAACAAGTCTCTTGTTAACTTTTATATCCGATCTCATGGAAAACAAAAGGTTAATAATAATTTTTTAAAAATCCCAAAGGGACTAGGGATATAGCTCAGTGGAAACGCTATCATCCGATCATTTCATCCCTAGATCTCAGGGAAAGGGGAAGTGGAAGGTGAGGAACAGGAAAAAGAATCAGAAAAAAAAAAAACTTTAATTTAGAAAAGTCTGTCATCTTTCAGTTTCAAACCTCTGTAATCTCAAAGTGGGCAGCCATATGCCAGGGAAGGGTTTAAGACAGATGACAACTTAAGATTCTCTTTTTGAAATAATAGAAGGGAATTCAGTCAACATACTTGAACAAATAATAAATTTATTAGGTGTGTACAAGTACAAAACACGGAAAGCTGCTGTAGAGGATTATAAATTTGTGCAGGAGACGCGCCTGCCCTCAGAGAGCTTACAATCTAGGCAACAAGTCACAAGGATAAATTTGGGTAATCACGGCTTCAGGTGACATCAGCAGAGCTGTTGAAAGTGTTCACATCCTTTACATCCTTCGAATTCTTTTCCTTGCAGATATAAGACATCTTTTCAATAGGGAAGTTAAATGTGGGAGAGACCTTTCATGGAATGAATGAGTGACCTTGACTTTGCATAGAAGCATCTTTCCTTGCTATTGTTTATTCTTGTAGTTTTCTCAGGAGTGTTTCCTCACTGGACAGTGGCCTGCAGTCTCCATGCTTCCTGAATCCTCACCAGGGTTTCCTGTTTGTGAGCAGCTGGCTTGCAGTTTGGCCTTGGAAGCGATTCACAATCCAGGTTTTCCTTCAGAAAATAAACCTCTCATTTGATTTCAGATGGCACTCACTTTGTTATTCTTTACAATCTGTGCTTCTGAGGATAGGACAAAGATGCAATACAAAGGAAAGAAGGCCAGACTTTTCCCTTAAACATTTAATAGTGCACTTACTGGGTTATATTCTGTACAGATATAGAGCAAACTATAAACCTCTTCCTTTTATATTTATTTTCATTTAGACTGTATTCTTGTAAAGTGTATTTACAATGGGGGAAAGGGAGCCTTGAGGTACAAAACCCAAAAGAATATCTGAGGTATAAATACAAGTATGTTTTAAATAATAATCTTTCTCATGCTTTATCTATGTCTGAAAGCACAGTGGACAGACATGTGTACATGTATCTTAATAGAATGGTATATATATACAACACACAATCTTACAAATCAGGAAGCTGTCAGACTTGAATATACATGGCAGGAATAGCTTTACAAGCAACACTGATTGATAGTCAAAATACTCAAAACTTTTAAATCTCTAATCTGATCCCCGTCCCCCAAATTCTTCAAAGAACCTTTTGAAATAACACTGACAATGGTAACTAAAATCGTAACAAAATAAAAATCCTTCTCTCATACATAATTCACCTTTGATCCATACAAAATAAATTTACTAATACTGTCTATCTTTGCCATTACAGTAAAACCTGTATAAAGACTACCCTTCCCAAACAACTGCTGTTTTTTTTTCTTTAAAACAACCCCATTCCCTCCACTATGGATACTATTTTCAGTGCTACTAAAATATATTTTAAGGGTATTCTAAGGGAAAAGAGAAAGAAATATGGGGGAAAAGAAAAAAAACAAACACAGAAAACCTATTTGGAGAAAAAGCCAAACCCAATTTATAAATATGTTCTGCTTTGGAATGCTTTTTAATAATTCCCTCCTATCTAAACAAAACAAAACAAAAAACAGGCATTTTGTGTTTCAGTTAAATTTACAGGAATTTCTTAGGGACATACAGTTTCTATTATGTTGACAATGTGAGGAACTGTATCAGGTTAAAAAATTTTGATGCTTAATTTAGGGTTAAATGTTAAGAGGATCAATCAGTATTTGTATCTCACTTAAAACAAAATCACCTTGCCAGACATTGTTAGCTCACACCTGTAATCCTAGCTACTCAGGAAGCTGAGATCTGAAGGATTGCACTTCAAAGCCAACCCAGGCAGGATATTCTGTGAGACTCTTATCTTCAATGAACCAACAAAAAGCTGGAAGTGAAGGTGTGGCTCAAGAGGTGGAATACCAATCTTGAGTGAAAAAGCTAAGGAAGTATGCTCAGACCCTGCATTCAAGCTCCAGTACTGAGACAAAACGAAAGTCCAACAAATAAACAAAACAAAACAAAACCACCAAAAAGAAACAAAACAAAACTTCTTTAGAGCCCATAAGGGAACTGGGATATTTATTCCTGAGCTAATCTTACTAGTTCAAACTATATTACTTTTTGCAATTAGGTCTAAATCCCAGTTGCATTAAAATGAATGTCAGGGGAAAAAAATCTATAATAAGGGAAACAAGAAGCTGGTGGAGAAGAAACATGCTAAAAAAACCTGAATAGAAAAATGGACAAGGGAATTGGGTCACCTTTCTAGTTACGATCCCAGGGGTAGTCAGCTAATCCAGGTTGGACCAAACCTGGTGCATCAACGTCTTTCTTGAAGCCATCTCAGTGTGCCAGACACTGCATTCCAGCGTTTCCATCTATGCCACTCAACTAGCAACAGACACACATTCACTCTCCTCTGTGCAAACCTGTCCTTGCTCCTCTCAGTGAAAACACCTGTGGGAGTACCAACTCTTAAAGTGGAATCATCAATTCCTCCACAAACCGCCCATCCATGACATAGTACACATACAGCGGCATCACTAGAGAACTAAGTCTCTTCATTATCTTCCATAATCTATTTAAAGAGTTTGCTTCTCGGAAGCAATGTGAATAAGAACACAAGTACATTTTTTTTTTGCACAGTCATATATTCCAGTCAAGGTCTATAATACAGACCTTAAACAAACAGGAAGCAGCTTTAAAAAAATGTATCAAATCACTAGAGTTCACGTCTCAACACCCCCAAGTTGCATTTGTTTCAGGATCACACAACAGATGACCTCTTCCAAGGACTGGCAAGGTTCTAGACACAATCACCCAGGTGGTGGGCACAGTTGTTTTGCTTTGGTAATCACCTGGATTTGGTGTCCTTGGTGTCAGTGTTTGGATTACTGAAGGAGTCTCGAATCTTTACCACTTCAGCTGCACACAAATGTCCAAAAGATTTTGTGTACCACTCTGGCATGTGGCCCCTGTCACAAGAAGGAAAAATTGGTAAGTGATGGAAGGTAGGTAAAGACACTCCTGTATATACTTCTTCCCCTCCCTCCCTCCCTCCATCGCTTCATTTCTCTTTCTTTTCTTGCACTGCTGGGATCAAAGCCAGGGCCTTTCACATATTCTCACTTATATTTTATAATAAGCAAAGCATGCTAAGTAAGAGGCTGCAATTTTTTATCCTCTGGTGAGCCCTTTGCATGTCATTACACTTGGCACCAGAGGTCTCCCAAGGAACAATATATTAAGCAAGATATTCACTGAAACTGCTCAGAGCAAGTGTTAGTATTGTCATATGTCACAGAAACAGGTCACAGGGACAAATGAAGAACTAGATACATAAAGATTTCACAGGAGAACTGATTTACCATGAAAGAATATCTAGAAAGAGGGCTTTAGAAGCTCATTTTCTAAAATCTGTATTGCTGCCTTCTAATCGTTTTCTGCCATGAATTTATACACATTTATGGCAGAGGATGTCATCGTAACCAATCACTATCAAGTCCAAGTGCACGCCATACTATTCACACACCTTTGAATATAAAATGAGAAACTTCCGGTAGTTGGTTCTGATCCATAAACTATGCCATTCCTTGGAGTATCAAATTCATGCGAGAATCACTAAGTTTGGCATTGCTTTAGTCGTATATTTTCTAAGCAATCCAGATGAGGGAGTGATCCTCAGAGACTAGCCCAAAGGAAACTGCTGCTTTGTAAGTACTACTGCTCACTCAATCACCAATACACTCAATCTCTTCCTTCCACCAGGCTGAAAATAGGAACCTTCTTAAAGACTCCTCTCATGTTAGAAAGTCAGAACCAGAACATACCTTAAATCAGCTCTGCACATGTAGGTGAGTTTGGATTTTCCTGGCCCGCAGGGTTCAATCAAATATCGGGATAGAAGCACATTGACCCTCACACCTACCACAGGTGCCCGGTCGTGATCCACAGAGGTGAGCAGGAGGGCACAGGCTCCCTTGGGTAAATTAGTCCTCCAGGTTCTAGAGACAAAATCAGAGAGCAAAACAAACAAATGGGACTTCCTGAAAACTAAGTTGGAAATGGTATCCTACTCGTGGAGGAGACTGTGAGTGGCCAGGCTCAGTTGCTCCATGACCCATGCCTGATAACAGGAGAAATGAGAACCACTTCACCTGGACTACAAGACAAACAACAGCTACTTCTGCTGAGGTAAATCCTCAGACAGTCCTCTTTTAGGAAAGAACCAATTTTAAGTGTTGCTAAACATCCTTTTCACATTTCATGAAAGTTTCAGAATGTGTCCCAATCTGAAAAGGATTGGGACACACGATGTGACATTTCCTTAAAGATCACTGGAATTCTTTCAGTAAGTCTCCAGCGAACTTACGATTCCATGCGAGTCAGACTTAACCACATCTCTCTTGGGACTCAAATGCTATTTCCTGGCTTATTCATTCACTGTCCATTTCTAACCAAAAAAAAAAAAAAAATGTATCCTAAAAGGGAGCAGAAATCTATTATACCGAGAAGCATATTCATTTGATGTGTCTTGGTAACTGAGTTCAGTTCCAAAAGAGCTCAAACCATTTTCAGTCAAATACCTCACTGGCATAAATGCAGATATTATATGTTTAAGGAGGAGTCATCATTGTTGTGGAGACCTGTATTTAATGTTAAATAATGTAACTATCTTGGGAGATTTAGTGCCATCTTGGCTCGTTTCTGACATTCAGTTGCCTGTTCCACAGTAATGCACCTGGAAGATCTTACCTCAATACAACATAGTCCCGAGCAGGGTGGGGTGCCATGCTGTTTTGGACATACTGATAAATTTCAGTCTGGCTGTCTAGGATTTCAATCACTTTTGAGTCCAACAAGTCAACATCCCAGAGGTGCTGCTCTTTCAGTAGTCGCTTTAAGATTTCATCTGGTGTAGCAGGGACTTCAATGGTTGATCTCCAAAGCCTCAAAGGGGGTCCCTCACTCACCTGAAAAAGAGGACACACTTGTTCAGTTCTCACACGAACCATGCACACCTTTTGACCCTGAAGGCAAACTGGGAGTAGAAGAGAAGGCCTCAGGTTCAGAAGCTAATTCATCTAGGCCACTGGTAGGCCAGTATCGCTTAGTAAATTCAAGAGCAGGCCAGAGAGCAAACAATACCAGCACACAATATCCAGGTCCAGACCATGACCTGGATTGATGTAACTGTGATAAAGTCAGTTATTTTACTTGCACCCTCAAATCCTGTCATAATCATAGGACTACTGCTTGTCTATTTTTTAGGATAATACTGAGGCTTGAACTCAGGGCCTTGAGCTCTTGCTCGGCTTTTTTGCTTAACGATAGAACTTTACTACTAAATTCATACCTTGAATTTTGGCTTTTTGCTGGTTAATTGAAGATAAGGCTTGGATTTATTAGCCCAAACTGGCTTCAAACTTTGATCCCAAGATCTTAGCCTTCTGAGTAGCTAGGATTACAGGTGTGAGCCACTGGTGCCTGGCTACACTTTTTAAGGTGCTAAAGATGTTCAACAAATCATTCTGTGGACCTATCATGTTAAGTCATATAGGATGCCCAAAATAAGGGGAATCAGAGCAGATGGGGAGCACAAAGGGATTTTCATCAAATTATGGAAAAATCTAAGCCTGTCCTAGGATGGATTTGAAAGCCTAGTACTATTTAGTAAACATGCCAGGGAATTCTAATGTGTTTCTGAGGGGAACAAAATATTTCCTTTAAAATTGATTAAAATCTTCTCAAGTACTAATGAGTGTAAGCCAGCCTGTGATTGGTCTCCACTTTGACCAGAGGAACTTGAATCAGCTGGCTGCCCAGTTCCCAAGGACAAATCTGGGTAAATCCACAGAGATTATAGCTAGGAAGTCTTCTCTCTGATGACTCCAAATCCTGACCATCAAAAGTCCACCAGGACTCACCTTCTTATAGGACAGCTCAGCCTGCTCCGAAGTAGAGTAGCTGACCCAGCCTTTAAACTTCTCTTTGACCTCCTTAAACAGACCATCTACACAGTCCTGAATGAAGTGCTTGTAGTCAGCTGACTCATTACTCAGGTGTCCTAACGCCTCCAGTGTAAGGGGCTTCAGCTCTTGTTCAGTGTAGGAATTGCGACATCGGCTCATTTCCTCAGGAACCTGGGAAGACCATGAAAGGCAAAAAGGCAGTGACTCCACAGAGGCCATCAGCAAAATCGGGGGACAGAAGCAATGGCCTAGATCCTTAAGGCAGGACAGGCAAAGGACAGGGCAGGAAATACGATCCTTATTCCCAACAGATGGTGGGCTGGTCACATCATGAGGGTAAAGACAGACTACTTTCACAAACAGTATTCTTTGCATAGTTAAGAGTAGAAAGATAAGAACTAAAATAGGATGAACAGTGATCCAGGAACGGTTCTAATATACAGAGTGTATATTAGAACCAATTAAAGAAGTTTAACTTAGGGGATCATTGATATCACTAACTGTTGAGTGTATAACTAAAAGACATACACACATCATTTCTCTAAGTATGTATAAACCTCTAACTATAGAAAAGATAAGAAAAACAAGTACCAAGTCTACAATTTGTCTCCATTCATATTATCTTTTTTTAAGTAAGCACAGTAATTTATTTTCAAGTGATAGGAAAGTTGTCCAAATAGTTAGACTCTCCATAGGAGAGGGGCTCAAAGAGGAGCCCCATTCACATCATACTTAGCCCAGCTGCCAAGCTTCCTGATTCCTTACCTGGAAGAGCTTCTTGCACTCAGCAATCATATGGGCCAGCCCTTGAGTGGCAGCTAAGTTTTCATTCAAATCTTTCTGATCTGGTTTGCCCAAACTCTGTTTTCTTTGCATTACCCTAAGTAGAAGAAATAAAAATAAGATGAGGATGAATCAAACATTTACTATATCCTAAACCAATGTGTCTGCATTGCCCCTAGGTAGAAGAAACATAAGAGAGGGGAATGAGTCAAGCATTTATATATTCTTTTTGTTGTTGTTGTCGGTCATGGGGCTTGAAATCCAAGCTTGGACACTCTCCTTGAGCTCTTTAGCTTAAGGTGAGCACTCTACCACTAGGGCCATTAGCACCACTTCAGGTTTTCTGGTGGTTAATTGGAAATAAGAGTCTCACAGACTTTCCTTGCCTGGGCTGGCTTTGAACTACGATCCTCAGACCTCAGCCTCCTGAGTAGCTAGGATTATAGGTGTGAGCCACCAGCGCCTAGCTCATTCATATATTCTTAATCAAATGTATCACTGAAGCCAATTCAAAGAAGAAAAAAATAATTTCTCTGGAGCCCATTTGTTAAAGAGTTGACCAGTGTTTCTCAGAATTTTATCAACAATACTTCAAAACCATTAGAGACACAATTTTAATGAAAGCCGAGGGATCTAAAACCATTTTAAGAGGTTTCTGTCTTCAGTGACAGGTTCCTTTAAGAGGCCTTGCCCATGGTGGAGAACAAGGCTAGGAGCCCCTGGGAGTTGGGTAAGTGGTGTTACTATCCTTAATGGTTAAATAAACAGAGCCCCCACCCATCGGTGTGGGATAAAACTACTGTTTCCTAGAGGGGTTGTCCTAGACTTACTTCATCTTTTTACTTTCTTCTCTAGTTCTGTCTCTCATTAAAGTTGGAATGCTCCAGCAAACCGTTAGCTCAGGATATTTAAGCACTACCTGGCTTTCAGAAACAAAGGTGATTTCAACTAGCACAACTAGATCCCTTGTTTCTAGTGGGAAAATACTTTTGTTGGTGGTGGTAGTCCTGGGGCTTGAATTCAGAGCCTGGGTGCTGTCCTTGTGCTTTTTCTGCTCAAGGCTAGCTCTCTACTACTTTGAGTCACAACACCACTTCTGGTTTTCTGGTGGTTAACTGGAGATAAGAGTCTCACGGATTTTCTTGCCCAGGCTGGCTCTGAACCATGCTCCTCAGATCTCAGCCTCCTGAGTAGCTAGATTTCACAGGCATGAGCCACCAGTGCCTGGCGAGAAATACTTTTTAGGATTCTTTAGTGATGAAGTAAAACCATCCACTGGATGGGTTTAAGATGAAAGGTTAGGTCCAGTTAGTTGCCTTGTACACAAAAGTGCAACCTTGGCTCTCTTTCTTCCTGTCAGGCACAGGTAAGTTACTGAACTAACTAACCACCTTCAACCATCACTTTCCTCATGTGAATGAAGGAGGTCCACCTTCTACGATTGTTAGGAAATGACATGACTAATGGAAATGAGATGATTAGTTATGTTATAAAATGAGATGATTAATGGAAACAGAAGCGTCTTGTGTCTGACAGAGAGTGTCTGGCAAACTGCAGTGTTCACTAGGTTTCTGATTCCCTGATTTTCTCCGTGGCCACGCCCGTGAGGTACATATGTGTTCTAAGCAGAAAGGCTGCTAACCAATGGCTGTGGCCAGAGTATATGAGTATCATGGAGGCTTGTCACCAGCTTTCAGGGTTTTCCTTTTCTGTGTGTGTGTGCTGGTACTGTGGCTTGAACTCAGGTCCTGGGAGCTGTCCCTGAACTGTTTTGCTCAAAGACCGTGCTCTACCACTTGAGCCATAGGTCTATGTCCAGCTCTTCCGTGGTTCACCAGAGGTGAGGGCTTCACATGGACTCTCATGACTGGGCTGGCTTTGAACTCTGGTCTTCAGATCTCAGCCTCCTGAATAGCTTGGATTATAGGTGTGAGCCACTGGCACATGGCCATTGTTCAGTTTTTGGACCTGGCTATTTTAATTTGGGGCACAGCCTAAGAGTTTGGCTTTACGGACACACACAGAGGCCGAGGCAACCAATATTATCTACATCAATAACTCTGCATAGTTCTTGGCTGGCAGAATGTGCGATGACACTGTTAAGACTCGCTCAGAGTCAACATTGGCCATGGCAAGGTATGAAGCCCAGAGGACTTGCTCTCAAAACCTGGTTGATCCAGGTTGTCTAGAAGATCATACTTAAGAAAAGCGGGTGGGAATGGAGTGTGGGAATAGTGGTAAGAGTGCTTATCTAGCAGGTATGAAGCCCTGGGTTCGAATTTTCAGTACCACATAAACAGATAAAGCCAGAAGTAGCTCTGTGGCTCAAGTGGTAGAGCGCTAGCCTTGAGCAAAAGAATCTCAGGGACAGTGCCTAGGCCCTAAGTTCAAGCCCAAGGACTGGCAAAAAGAAAAATTAAAAAAATAAAAGGAAAGGAAAGGAAAGTGGGCCATGGCAGCGTTAAGAGGCTTCCTGCATTCCCACCCTATGGCCCTACCTTGGAGAAGAATTCTCCCTCTTCAGGGTGTTGAGATGGAAAAGGGAAGGCGCTAAGCACACAGCCAGGTTGGTGGGTGTCATCTGGTTTTCTTTTACCGCTGCTGTGACATCGCTCAAGAAGTAAAGAAGAGTCTGGAGAACTTCCCTGTTCTCGTCAGGCAGGAGCATAATGGCGGCCTTGATGGCTTGGAGGCGCTGATCCTTGGGCACATCTGCAGGGTACAAGCATTTCCTCCTCAGTTCAGTGAATTTCCATGTGGATGGCGAGAACCCGTCCCAAAGCAAACATCAGCATCAAACACTGAACAAGCACTTGCAGAAAGTATACTAGAGGTTAATAAGGGAGAAATTATGGGCTGCCACCACCGTCACTACCCTCAAGTATTTCCTGTCTCACGGACATGTTAAACATTTTTAAACACCCGCAACACTACACTAATACACTCCTAAATCCACCTCAGAATCCAGTTCTGTGTTCTTCTAGTTTACAGAACAAATGTTTCTTCTAAGCATTTAAAAAATTTCCCATTAGCCACCTCAATGACTGAAACTAACTTTTGTTTATAGTTTCAATGAAAAGTTTGAGATATGTATGAAATGATAAAAACAGAATCTCTAAGGACTGTCATAATTGACTGATTTGTTCATCCTTGAAATGGAAAATGCTGTTAAAATATCCAGCCAATTCAAACCAGACATATTAAACTAGTAGTTTCTTGCGTTTCAGAAAGTATATCAAGAGGCTAATAGAGAAATGTCTATACATACGAAAATATACAAAAAGGGAAATCCATCAAATAATCTTCGCTTAGAAAATGTGGAACCCAACTCCAACCTTGGTTTCCTTTAGGTCTCCTTTAGTAGGCAAACTTTTAAAGAAGCATTTGCTGGAAAAAGCAAGTCATTCAAATGCAGTACTATAAGACAAACTGATTCAACAGCTCCATGGTTACAATACATAACAAATACTTTGGTGGGGAAAATGTGATCTGTGTTTTCATAAAATATGAAAGGATGAAACAAAAAAAATGAAATAATCCAGAGCAGCTCCATTTCTCATAAAACAGAGCCCAATGTGCCAGTTCTAAAGACAACTTCATCACTGAGAGAAGCTGCTTTTAAATCACATTGCTGTAATACCAATGTGAGCCAAGAAAAACACCAGGCTGTAAAAGCTATAATCCTGATCTTGATCATTAATTTCAACAACTGTTTGCTTTAAGCTTTGCTTAAAAGTGAGAAGGGCATGGATATTGTTTTCTCAAGTATTCCTGGCAGGGACTTCGATGAATAACAGAAAAAAAATTATTTATTCATTTTACAGTGAGATGAAACACACAGACACCTGTGAAATTTTAAATATAACAACTGTTAGATGTGGAGCAACTGAAATTTCTATAGACAAAGGGGGAGATGGAAAGAGAAAGAAAGGGAGTGGGAGGAAGAGAGAGAAAAAGAGATCTTGGTACTTATTTTTGTTTTTTAACTAAGCATGTGAAATAACACTGCAGTAGAAACAACTAAGAGGAGATAGGTCAGATTGTAAAAATGTACAACTTCCCCATAACTCAGACTGATATTAAGGCAAAATTGTTTTTGAATTATTCAAATTATTCACAAGTATATAAACAAGGAGACTAACGAATGACCTATGTTTTCAAGGTTGCCATGAAGGTCTCTTGTCCAACAAATGACATGGAAGGATGCCAAAAGCCTTGGTTGGTCCCACATTTCTCAGCCACTAGCCCTCTTAATAAGATTCCAAACACTTACATTGGTAGATCTGTAAAAAGGTTTCAGAGAGCTTGTTGGTCATGAGAGGCTCGGGAAGATCTCGAAAATACTGCTTCAGCATGTCGGCCACATCGTAAGCTGACTGTCCTTCATAATTGACACAGTCCACGGCACTTTCGTTCATCTGGCGCAGAGCCTGAATCCGAGATTTGACACCCGACTTCCTGAAGAGTCCAACCTTTTGGAGGGAAAATATTAGGTGTCAGGATGGAAGCCAACATCCTCACTACAAAATGAGAACAAGTAGCGAGCACGCAGCATGGGACGCGCAGGCAGCAGCCCTCACCTGGTCCAGACAATGATTGCGCAGGTACCGCATGGCCTGCTGAATGCTCTGTGGCAAGGGCTGTCCCGTGCGCTGCACGCTCACTGTCAGAGGGACCCCGAACACGCTCCGATCCTTGTAGTCCGGAACTTTGATCCTCTTCATAAACTTGGGCACGGCCCTGTTTTAAAGGACATGGTGGAATGTTGAATTGTCTGTCCATACTTCTTCTGACTCCAGGCAAATCCTGTGTGCCCTAGTTCTGTGCTAACACCATTGGCTGTTTAAATTTAAATGATCATTTCAGCACCGACTAGCCATGTGTGTCCATTTTTGTCTCTACTAACAATTCTGCAGGACAGGGCTGTGCTAGGTCTTGTAAGAGCTATATTGCTGGTGGCTCATGCCTGTCATCCTAGATATTCAGAAGGCTGACATTTGAGGATCCAGGCTTGAAGCCGGCCCAGGCAGAAAAGCCCTTGAGAGTCAATCTCCAATTAACCAGAAAAAAATCAGACTGGAGGCATGGCCCAAGTGGTAGAGCACCAATCACGAAAAAAACAGCCCAGTGTTAAGGACAGGTCACATTTTCTAAGTTGGGAAACAACCTTCCTAAGTTGGGAAACAACCTTCCCCTGCTAATGTTGGGAACTTGGTTCCTTTAACTAAGGGAGTTGATGGATCTCAATCATCATAAGATGGCACAAGATTTAACCGAAGCAGAAAACATGTAATACTTTAGTCTCTGCTGATACAATTTTTGAAAAACAAGTTCCCATTTTGTTCTCAAAGGGCAAAGATGAGATCAGGCTCAAAAGACCCTTCTTAAGGCTGTGTGAGAAATCAGCAAATGTACAATATTGGTCTTATATAATGAGAATCAACTCCAGAGCTTAACAGTGCTCAATTTGAAGTCAAAATAAATTCGCCTGCTGATGACCCCAGAGAACATAACATCTTAAGGTTTCTGAGAGAAGATACAAAAAGGAACAATGGGGGTTTTGTGAGCCTCCCCAGGCTCCCTGGAGTCCTGAAAGCAACCCCCCTCCCCCCAGCAGTATATCCAACAGCAGGAAACCCATGTCGTGCATTTAAGGCTGTCAAACAGACATCTGAGCTCTACAAATGACCCCTGGGAGTGAGACAAGAAAGGGCAAGGCAAACAGGAAAGGAACCGAGGGCAGAATTTCTCCCCACTGTGTGGTAGATCCCACAATGCTAGGCTTTTACATTTGCTTTGACTCACTGGAAAAACTGACCAGAACTCAAGAAATATTATGGACTTTTTAGATTCTTGAGGCTTTGGTGGGAAAGGGGTAGACACCTTAGAAACGAGAATCTAAACTATTCAGTTTTAAATAGCCAGTAGGGAAAATATTACTCTTTAGCACAGAAGCTGACTGACTGCCTTAACTTTGGAGTGTTACCCACGGCCACATCATATTCCTGTTTATAGCTCGAGGAAAGGTAAAGCCAAAGAGCACAACCAAATGTGTATTTCCATACAGTTAAACATACAGTATTATGGCTGGAAGTGTGCATAATACTTGCTTTGTGGGGGGGGGGGGGAAGGGTAAAAGCCCAGCTTGCGGAATGTGGAAAGAACACATTACGCTCTTCCACGAGAATTTGAAGCATCTGGAGCTAAACCAGTCAATACTTATTTCTGTCATTCCGAACAAACAACTTCTGTACTTAAACTCACATAATAACCGCCTTTGCTCCAGAGGTGCTTTGATGCTGTACATACACTCCGTAAGTATCCAAGTTAGGAGGAGCTGGGAGACTGTTCGACCAGCTACTTGTCTGCTAGAGTGCTCTAGTGAATAGGGTTGCTTCTGTATACTTAACAACTGGCAAGTGAACACTTTGATGGACACCCAGGTGATACTGAAAAATACACTGAGTATCCATCCAGAGACAGTCTTTGGTCTCTCACATCTTTCACACTCACGACTCATCTAGTCAATAGTCTACATCTTACTTGTAAGTGCTCCATGTTGGATTTATTTTTTAAAGGAATTAGGACAAATGCATCCAATAATTGTCACCTTAAGATATTGGTCTGTAATATTTTCTAATGAATTACTTCAACTTAATATTCAGTCTTTGAGCATCTTTGCTAGGGGAAAATAATACTATAAACTCTTTTTAGTATATAGGAAGATTTCTGAACGAGGCCACAAATGTTCATGTCAAAAATGAACCATTGGACCAAGGATGCAGCTTGGTGGTAGAGAATATGCTCAGTATGCACAAAGCCCTGAGTTCAATCTCCAACAATTTAATAACAACAACAATAACAAAAAGATTCCTAAAACCATGTATAAATATGACTGGGTGATATACTAAGAATTTCAAACATAAACAAACCCATAACATTGTCCTTATTTTTTCCTTCCTTCTTTCTATAAATATGATCTGACACCACATACATACTGACCTACTGCAGACGATTCCAATGACTACAAAGATGACCACACTGTGGTATGAATGATGCATCCTTTCCTCCCCCATGACTGAAAATGTTGTCATTCAAAGAGCTCGAAACTCAATCAACCTACCCTGCTGGCAGTCCCCCCCAAACCTCCACAGGCTTCAGTAGTATTAAATGTGGCCTCAAGAATACAGACTCCATGAGATTGCAGACTAAAGACATAATAAAGGACACTGTCGTCATGTGCTCAGTGAAGGGATGTTCTCAAGGAGTGGACCCACATTATCTTCTGTTACTATCTTCAGAGTAATTTCTATGCTTACCAGCTGAAACCATGCTTGTTGGAAGGCGTGTACTTCTCCAGCAGGGCCGTTAGCTTCAGAAGTGAGTATTTCTGCAATAGGTTCATTTGGGCTACAGATTGGCAGTTAATCTGCAGAGATACAGAGTTTAGACTTGGCCGATGAGAGCTCTGGAAACTGTGCCATCTCAGTCTGTGCCTGGAAGAGAACACAGCAAAGGCTTCTTAGAAAGCAGATGCAAAAACTCAGCTGCAGGCTGTTCTTTGCCATCTTAGGAACCAACAGGATGCAGATTCTATCTCAAGCTCCACACCCTACCCCCTTTTCCAGAAAAAAAGACAGTGGCTTCATATGCATGGAGGTTGGAGGTAGAGTTGAATCAAGGACAGATACCCAAATCCTAGGATGCTCAAGTCCCTTAGAGAGGATTTGCACATTTCCATGCACATCTTCTCACATTCCTTCTGGTTTATTTATAATGCCTAAAACAACGTGAATGTTGAGAATAATTAACTGCTATACTGTAGGTTCTAGGGAATAATGACAAGAAAACAAACATCTATATGCATCTACAGTGCAGACTTTTTCTCAGACTATGTGGTTAGGTCTTCAAATACAGAAAATGTGGATAAGGAGGGCTCACTACGCGTAATGGCAAACAGACCATTTTAACCATTCCAAAGTAGGCAGGTCAATGGCATTAAGACCACTCACGTGTGCATACTTGCAGCTCCCATTACTTTCCATCTGAGCTTTTCTCATCTTCCTCAACCCGACGTCCATGTCCATGAAACCATGCCCTCTCTTTCTGATGGCACAATTTCCTGTCTGATAGGAATCTACCTGGCTATGAATGCCAGACTTCATCCTACTTATAAGAGAAACCATTCCTTTCTGACCTCACACCCACCAGCGTTGGGGGAGCAGGACGGATCGTACCTGTTACACCTGGTCAGGGAAGCCCCGACCCCAGAGTCTCTTCTTTCCGGGATGTCAGCTGGCTCTTCAGGTTCATTCAGGGAGTTGCCTGTGCTGTCCAGGTCACTAGGTGTTGTTCGGTCGTTGTCCACATCCAGGTGGATCTGCTTTGGAGATGATGGACAAGGAGAGACAGAATCCAGGGCTGAGTCTGAGTCTCCCTCATCAGAAAACTTTTCTGACCACTGGTTGACTATCCGTTGCATCCCCTTTACATGATACAGGATGTCATCTAGCTCGGGGAAGATGTCCTCATTCTCCAGGTCAGCCAGATCCCCTGAGCTGGAATACAGGATGGAGCCTGGCACGTTGTCGTAGATGCTCAGGCGGCTGCTCACGGAGCTGGAGGAATTGCGTCTCTTCAGTTCCTTAGGGCTGTCGTTGCTGTTTTCCCTTCTTAGGCTGATATGGCCAGGGCCATGGAAGCTTCCTGTCCTCCAGTTCACAGAGCTGTCATTTGCTGAGGAACAGAAACTGCCATTGGAGAGGGCTTTGGGGAAGGTGCCAGGTTTGTGATCTTCAGGAATGTAGAACACTGTGTCTTCTGGGTAGCTCTCTCGGTTCTTAAAGTTCTGCTCCACCACGTTGTTGAATGTGGACTGATTGAAAGGATCAAAGCCTTCGAGGTACATGCCCACCCGCTTGTTACAGGTGCTGAGGCTCCTGGTTCTGGTGACAGGGCTGGGCGTGCTGACAGCACTGCTTGTCTCCGACTGGCTGCTGCTACTACTGGTGTGTGTGGAGTTGGACACGCTCCTCTTTCGTACCATGGGGACGTTGATGTGGTTGCCATTGAGGGCTGAGATCTCCACGCAGTTCAGCTGCTTCAGCTTCTCCTCATCCATACCCTCTTGCAGAATGGGCCCGCTGATGATCAGCCCCAGCTTGGAGGGCGCCTTATGCTTGCTGTGGTGGGAGGAGCCCCTGAGCTTCAAGCTCTCCATCCGTTTCAGCAGGCTTCTGGTCTTGGACTTAGTGTTTTTCTCATGGCCTTTCATGCTAAAGCTGAAGCTGGAGAGTTCCTTGGGAGAGGGGAGGCTGCAGAAAGAGTCATCATTACCCATAAAGTGGCCAGAGGAACAGACGCTGATGACGGAGTTAGTCCGGGGTGTCACAGCGTCCCCGCCGTGGGGCACGTGGGTGGGGACACTGCTGGTGCTGCTGAGGCTGCGGAGAGAAGACACCTCCTGGTGCTCGCTAAGGTCTGTCAGCATGCTCTCGTGGCTTGCAGCGTTCTTCAGGTGGGAGTCATCTGGGGACCCAGGGATTGGGTCTTGCTTTGGAGAAAAGACATCGAATTCTTCAAGCCTGGACCACCTCTTGCTATCCCTCTGGAACATCCACTTGCCACTTATTGCACAGGGTTCATCCTCATCTGAATCCTCACTCTGCAACAACACAAGAGAGCCATTCAAACGCTGGGACCAGCAGACAGCAGGAGGTAGGGGATGTGTTAAGGGCCAGGAGACGATACTTCTAGGTGTCCATTTCTCCCTCCATTTTTTTTTTTACTTTCAAAGGTTTATTTAAAGAGTTTGACAGCCCTATCAAGTATTACCAGCGAAGCAAGAGCTATTTTATAGAAACTCTGTGTCTATAGGCTGTCCACTAATGGCTCAGAGGAAACTTCTGACATGGGTGAAAATTCCAGGCATGCAAAATATTTTGAACTGGAGTCAGCTGCAGTGGGACTCCCTTTCGGCTGCCTCCAGCTCTGGTGTCTGTTGATAGAATGTGTTTATATTCCTTTTTTTTTTTTTTTGCAATTTAAAATAAAAAGATGGTTTTTCACACAGTAATCACAGTGGCAATACCTAGCCACCGTCAAAAATCTCCTGCTAGCTTCTCCTATTAAACAAACAGAGACCAATCAAGGTGAGCCATCCCATGTCTTCAGTTCAATCCTGCATCGCCTTTTACCTGTTCTTTTTCTTCCCCTCCCCCTATGGGAGCCAAGTGGACTCCAGGATTGTTCTGGGCAGTTTCAACCCCAGACATGCTCCAGGCAATTGAACAAAAGCTTTGTGTGGAGCATTTATTAAAATACTAAGGTACCACCATTACTGATTATGCTTGATTTATAGGCAAGACCCAGGGATCTGGTCACAAACTAAAGAAATCTGGCCTTTCAGGCAAAACATCAAAAGACACTATGTATGCACTGTGATAGGTAACTTTGTCACTAGCGTGGAAAATATCCTCTCACCTCAGATTCACAGGACAATGAATAGAGAGCATGAAGGATTGACTAGTTCATTTGCTTAAGAGGCTTAGCTAAGTGAAGGTGACTTTTGGCAGGCTAAGGACTCTAGTATAATTAAAATTTGAACCCTGAGCCATCTTTACTATGTTCTTTGACTGATTATATTGGTTTATCCTAATTTGTGATCCTCACTCCTACAACTTCACCTATCTCTTCTCCTAGATCTCATAAAAGGGCAGAAGAAAACACCATCACCCCATTCAGCTATGTATCATCCTGGCTGCAATGTGTGGGATGTCCTGTCCTGTCCTCTTCCTCCCCTAGTTCTTTTCCTCCCTCCAAATCTCTTATTATGCTTCAATATCTTCCAAGCCAGCCTTCTTTGCTTTTATCTTGACAGCTCTGAAATGTTGTTCATGTCCTATCTGGGAAAACAGAAGAGTGCCTAAAGAATGATAGCTAGCTCAGTTTTCTCTCTTGTTTCCCTATATGGCTGGGGATAACAATGTAAAATGCACTGGGATTCATTAAGTCATCCTTTTATTTTACACTAGGCATTGAGATTATTAGGAAAAACAATAATAGATGATTTCTTCAGGTCAAAAACAGTAGATAAAATAATCTATTGGCTGGCTGCATTCATTACTGGATTAATTATATAAAGTCACATAGTATTTAACAAACCTGACTGGATTTTAACATTAAACAGAAGTGTGTCTGAAATGAGAAACTAAGTCTGGAAAACAAAATCTGCTACAAAACGTATTTGGTTTCAGGTTTGTCTACTTGTCCACTACCCTCCATACTAAATATTCATATATACTCACTCTCTTCCGATGAGGGCTAATTTCTAGCTTCATCACTGCACACTTGTTTAATGTATTTAGACGCCTATAAAGCAAAGAAATAACATTAACATTAAAAAGAAAACCTTGATGGGAGGATCAATATTATTTCCAAATTGACATGAGTTTCTTTAAACTCATTAATAATAAATATAGCTGATTAGAAAAAAATTCCTTAAAAAGGAAATCATAAGCCAGGTACCACTCAGAAGGCTGAGATTTGAGGATTGCAGTTTGAAACCAGCCCAAGCAGGAAAGCTTGTGAGATTCTCATTCACACAATTAACCACCCCAAAAGGTGGAAGTGGAGCTGTGGCTTAAATGGTAGAGTGCTAGCCTTGAGTACAAAAGTGCAGAGGCCCTGAGTTCAAACTGCAGGATTGGTGTACACAAGCATTTACCCATGCGTGCACACACACAGTAAATTGTTTAAAAAAATATCTTTCTATTGCTTAAGCTTTTCATTTAAATGTGAGTTTTTTATTATTTCATGTTGCAGTGGCATTAGTCAGGTGCCCCAAATTCACCATGGAATAAACACCTCAGTGAGAAAATGTATGCTTCCATGCACTTCTAGACTGAGCCATCAGGTATTTGTTCTTTGCCAAGAAATAATGGTCTGCTCATCTCCTTTTACAGAGACAAGAACAATAAGGAACCAAGTAGAAATGCTGGCAATATAAACAGTATATTCTATCTCATATAAAACAAGCCTTAGTCATCTCTGATAATTGTTATCTGCCTTAAAATTATTTTAGGCAGTCATTTAAAATTTAACTTTTCTCTATGGAGAGGAAACCTGAGTTGTCTTTGGCATTCAATCGGTTTTTTTTACCTTTAAATTCTTCTTCTTCTTTTTTTTTTTTTTTTGGTAGTCCTGGGGATTGAACTCAGGACCTTACATTTGTTAGGCAGGCCCTGTATCACTGGAGCTATACCTTCAGCTCCTCTATGCTGATTATTTTCCAGGTAGAGTCTCAATGCCTGGGCCAGACTAGACTGTAGTCCTCCTACTTTTGTTTCCCAGTATTATTGGGGGTCACAGACATGTGACACTGCACCAGCTGTCTAACTGGGAATACAGGTATATACGCCACTTCACCAGCCATTGGTTGAGATGGAATGTTGCAAATGTTTACATCAAGGCTAACTTTAAATTGTGATTCCTCTTGAACAGAACCTCTTAAGCAGCTAGTATTACAGGCTGGAGCCACAGAGCCCAGCTGACATCCAACCTTTTATATATCTTCCTGCTCACGAGAGAATTGCATTTGTTATACTGACAGCAATTGCAAAAGATGATTATGTAAAAAGTAATTTGTATAGTATAACTTCAGGAAATCAAAAGCTTATTGAGTTAAAGATTGGCTGTTCTTTGGGACAGAAGTTGTAGTATAATTGTGAACTTTCCTACTACCAAAAGACAATACGAAGCTAAAATCAGGAGAATAAGGCTGGGGTGGAATTCAGCGGTAGGGCACTTGGCCAGCATGAGGAAGGCCCTGAGTTTGATCTCTAACGCCACAAAATAATAAGCAAACAAAATCTGGGGAAATATTTGGTTTTACTGAAGTGAAATACTTAAAAAATCATGATGAAATAATGAAAGGATTACAAAAAGACTTTCTAAATATGCCAGGCTAAATGGCTCAAGAATGATAGCCCAGTGGGCTCCAGAACTTTCTAACATCATCATGATAATTACCACTGAGCTTTCTTCCAATGAACTTTGTGTGTGTATGTTGGTACTTGAGGTTGAACTCAGGGCCTGAGTGCTATATCCCTTAGCTTTTTGACTCTTTCACTTGAGCCACAGCTTTACTTCCAGCCTTTGCTGGCTAATTAATTGGAGATCAAAAGCTTCAAGGACTTTGTTCCCCATGGCTTTGAGTTACAATAGTCAGGTTTCAGAGTAGCTAGGACTATATGTTGAGCCATCAGTGACGGGTGGCCAAGGATCTTTTAAAAAAATATTATTATTATCTTTAATTAGTTGTACAAAGGGTTTTAATTCAACCAATTTTCAATTTAAAGGGGTTTCAGTATGTTTGAGTACAATGCATCTTGATCAATGCCAATAAACTTTTAATGTGTCTGTTTTACTGTCTCAAATCTCCTCACTCTTTTTCCTAAAATTACAATTCTTATGTTTTCATAGGATGTGGATTTAATTCACTCAATTCAAACTGATCACATATTCTCTTCTTCAGGCTTTATCTTCCTGATTCTGTCCTTGCAACTGGTCTGACAGAAAACTTGGATGCCGCAGGATAGAAAGTATTTCTGCTGGCTTGATAAGCTTGCCTTTGATTTCCTAGATTATGTGAGTGCCTGTTTAGAGAATAAACAGAGATAACGCAGAGCATCTATGTTCAGAAAAATTCTCTCTGTAACTGGGGAGGGAAAGAAAACAAATAACCAAGAACAAGTCTGCAGACTTAGAAATTAAGGGCAATGAAAGGTCCCTCTCTAAGGGACATCAATCAATTACTTCAATGGCTTCCACCGACAGTGTTTTAGTTCTCCCATATTTTCAAGATTTAAAGACTCCGGAATGGTTACAGTTAGTCTCAGGTCTGGGATTCATTAATCAAACCTGTAATCAAATACCTACTTGACTCTATTTGAGCGTTAATGGTTGAATGGTGTTTATAACCAAATTTACTAAGCATGGAGGCCTAAGGGGTTGAAAAGGGTTTATATCACATAATTCTAGATTTGATTTAAAAACAGCAACAACAACAAAGACCCAGGAGGCTTGTTTAACAAAGCTCAATTTTATCTTTTTATGTCAGTAACACCAGGCCAACAACCTTTCAATCCTAGTTATCCTCTGGGTTTTCTCTGTGGTTTTTGTCTCTCTTGGACTCCAGAGAATGCCTACTGACAGGATCTGCTTTTCTTATAGAGAGCCAGTAGTTCTAACTAGCAAAGACATGGACTTAGTAGTTACCAGAGCTCAGAAAGGAAGATGGAAAGAAGGATTGCAGAGGTGAGTTACTAGGCACAAAAACAGACAAAGGGTAAATCCAAGCATTCTATGGCAGACTAAGTAGGGTAGCTATAGTTAATATTAAGTTATGATGCAATTTAAAGTAGCTAGATGGAAGGATTTTAAATATTCTCAATAAAAGAAATAAGCCAGCTCACCAGTGGCTCACACTGATAATCCTAGCCTTTGAGGAGGCTGAGATATGAGAATGGAGAGTCAAAGCCAGCCAGGCAAGGAAGTCTATGAGATTAAGGCTCTTTATCTCCAATTAACTTCTAGAAAGCTGGAAGTGGAGCAGTGGCTAAAGGGGTAGAATATGAGCCTTGAGCAAAAAAGCTCAGGGACAGTACCCAGGCCTTGAGCTCAAGTCCCAGGACTGGCACAATAAAAAACAAAAAATATATAATAAATGCTCCAGGTGATGGATATGCTAATTACTGGTGTTTGTTCATTATAAGGTTACATGCATGTGTTGAAACATCAAATTGTACCCCATAAATATGTGCAATTATTGTATTAACTGAATTTTTTTTGTTCTGGTCCTGGGGCTTGAACTCAGGCTTTAGGCACTATCTCTGAGCTTCTTTTGCTTGAGGCTAATGCTCTACCATTTGAGCCACAGATCTTCTGGCTTTTTCTGTGATTAATTGGAAATAAGAGCTTCATGGACTTTCCTTGTCCAGTCCGGCTTTGAAGTACAATCCTCAGATCTCAGCCTCTTGAGTAGGTAGGATTTCAGGCGTGAGCCACAGAGACCTGTTTTTTTGTTGTTGTTGTTGGTCATGGGGCTTGAACTCTGGGCCTGGGCACTGTCCCTGAGCTCTTCAGCTCAAGGTGAGAACTCTACCACTTGACCCACAGCACCACTTCCCAATTAAAACTTTTAAAACATACTTCTAGCTAGACGAATGGAGCACAATGTCAAGTATTTCCATCTCTCCATTCTCACAACTCTATGATGTAGATAATTTGATTTATTTTCCTTTGTAAGTGAGGATATGGGGCTTGGAATGATCATAAATCTAGCCCTCGAACATCAGATTCAAATATGGTGTCTCTACTCAAATCACTACACTTCTGCATTAATTTCTAAAACAAGTAGTAATAACAAAATATGGGGACAGCAGAAATCCTTAGTAGGATTGTTTAAGTGGTTGTTGAAGCATTGGTATCATCAGCCATCTGTCCAGAAGCATCAAAGAGCCCTCCTTCCCAGGGCTCAGCTCCACAGGAATGTGTGGGCCTTATCTCCTGGGCAACAGATACCCTGTTCTGAAGAGGGAGGGAGCCCAGGATGGGCTAACAACATGGAATTCAAGAACTTTTGTTTTCAGCCTTGTTGTATTCAAAGTAAAAACAGGAAAAAGTAGAAAAGTAGAAGGAAAAAAAGGAAACTTTTCAAGTAAAAACTTAAAAAAAAAATCATTCCAATTCTCAAGATAGGTTGGGGGGGGAGGTAGTTGTGGAGGTGGGTGGGAAGGGATGGTAGGGGGAAAACAAAGGAGGAGGCAACAATGCTCAATAGGAAATGGACTCATTACCTTGCTCACGTAATTGTAACCCCTTTGTACAGTATTTTTACAATAAAAAAATGAACAAAAAAAAGTATCTTTTGGGAATTACTATAAATGCTTCAAGAAATTACTTGCTGCTAGGCATAGTGCTACATGCTTATAATCCCAACAATGTGGGAGGCAGAGCTAAGAGGAACGAACTTGTGGTCTAAGGCCAGCCTGGGAGAAAAAAATTCCACAAGATGCTTATCTGAAAAATAACCCCAAAAGAAAATCTGTAAGGGATTGGGAGTGTGGCTTAGGTGGTAGAGTGCTTGCCTAGTAAGTGCAAAGTTGAGTTCAAAGCCCAGCATCACAAATAAAGGAACAAAATTACTTGTTTCCCTTTAAACATGCTGCCATTTCTGTTCTGTTTGAAGTCAGCATATTTTAAAACCAAGTGCAGACTTAGTAATTGTAATTCTTGGTCATTATCAAGTTTTGTATTTTAGACAGTATCATTGTTGTCTAAAAAGTAAAATAAAAGCCCAGTCTATCTACAAGTCTGCTGCTGCCCTAAGCAGAAAAATGTTACGAGACGGCAACTCCTTCCAGATTTGGATCAAAGGAGTTGCACGACCTGCAAATGTTTTAGGAATATGAGTGTTTTTTTGTTTTGTTTTTTAAGTTGTGTTGTTGTTTTGGTGCTGGTCTTGGGGCTTGAACTCAGGGCCTGGGCACTTTCTTTGAGCTTTTTTGCTCAAGGCTAGGAGGCACAGCTCTACTTCTGGCTTCTTTAGTGATTAATTATAGATAAGAGTCTCATAAACTTTCTTACTTGGGCTGGCTTTGAATGGAGATCCTCAGATCTCAGCAACCTGAGTAGTGGGGATTACAGGAGGAATATTAGTATTTTTAATAAAAGAGAGTGCTAGGGTAATGCCAGGCTCCCTTGTAACACCTGTGTATAAAATATGGCCCAGGAGAAAGGAGAAGGAGTGAGGTTGGTAAGAGAAATATTTGAGACTTGGTAAATCTATACACTAAGTTTCTTTGACCGTAGTAGCATATATGTTTAAAATCAATTGTTCGACAATTTGCCCCATAAAAGTTAGAATGTGTTTCTGACTATAACTAAGTATCACTATCTCACAATACTGTAAAATTTATGTAATCACTTAATCACAATAAAAAATTGCTATAAAAATCCATTGTTCGAAATAATTCAACACAAAAAGATGAATGTCAGCAAAACATCCATTAGTAGAGAAAGAACTCCACAATTCACAAGGCGAAATTTCACACTATACTACAGCATTGCTATTTGTTCTCTTAGAAATGCACAGGGATAAACTTGGGGTTTTTTGTTTTGTTTTTTTTTTGCTTTTAGCTTTCTTTGCAGTGCTGGGGATTGAATCCAGGGCCTATGTATGCAAAGCAAGCACTCTACCACTGAGTTATGCAGGTATTTGGAATAAGTAGAACTAGCAAGTGAGGTAAAAATCACATAATTGGAGAACCAAGCCTCTCAACTACATTACAGACTTTGAGGAACTTGTAATATGCTTCCAAGGAAAGACCTAGAAATCCACTGTGTGTGGTTTCCACTTTTTTTTTTTTTTTTGAGATCTGTTTGTCTCTCAGTTGCTTATCAAATGAACTTTGTCATTCTTATTCTTATCTTTTTTTTTTTTTTTTTGGTGTTGGGGATTGAACCCAGTACGTTGCACTTGCTGGGCAAGTGCTTTGCCACTGAGCTATATCCCAGCCCTTTGTCTCTTTATGTGAACACCTGGAGAAGGGACCATGGGTTTGCCATTACAAAAACATTGACTACTATTAATGTAAGTTTTGAAATGTTTCTTTTTAAAAAAGAAAACCCAACTCCAAGCCTTCCTACAAAGCTGGGTCTGATCATTGGATTTTTAAAGCACTTGACATCCATCCAACAGTGCATCATTTCCTTCCCAAGGCTAATCTGGGATGTGTTCTCTTATGCATGACAAACTTGAGTCCAACCAGAATACATGCCTAGCTGAAGAGTATGTAGATCAAGTTGCTTTTATTTTGTATTATATAAAGGATCTCAACGCACAGATTTATCCTCTTGAATAGGCGGTCGCTTCTCCAGTGTACTCAACGCAAGTATAAGTCACAAAATGCACAAGAGGCTCTTTCCTTCAATAAAAGGAAAACTAGACTCCAAACTGGTATTAACAAAGCCAAGAATTTGAATGCTCTGCTGCAGTGCTATTTTTCTGACCCAGAAATTCCTAAGCTGTTGCTACTGCCATGAAGACTCACTCCCTACGTGGCTTAAAATGTGTGAAACAGATGAACTGACGCAATGCTTAGATAGTTTCGAAGATGCGTCTTATGAGTGATCTCATTCGTATGCACTATCACCAGTGATGAATTGAAAATAAATTAATTCTGCCCTAGAGTTAAGCATGAAAACATCTAAAAAATGTCTGCAGTAGTTCATATTCCAGATGCAGGCGTCTTTTCCCTAAACTGCACTGGGGTATTTTTTCATCCATGATGCGATTATTCATTTCTGTGTAGGACTCAAAACTAAGTTTCTTTCAGAAAAATGTGTCCATATCCTGGATACTTCTAATTAGTTATTTAACTGGACTAGAAAAGTTTCTGTGGTTAACAATGCATTGTTTTCCATAGTAAAAACCATGCAATCTAATCTTTTCCATATACCATTCTAAAGGAACAATCCATGTTTTCTCTAAAACTACTGCTTGAGTTAGCTGCTTCTGATAACACTGTATTACAGAAGTAAGGCCAAAAGAAAAGAAAAAAAAAGAAAGAGTGCTCTCAGAGCTTCTACTGAATTCTTTGCTTACAAAGAAAAATGAAATACTGGATATTATTGCACTTTAATGATATTTTTTTCCTAAGTTAAAATAAATAGTGAAATTAAAGGGGCTTTACATTATTTCCCTATCTATATAACCTTGGTGTATGGATAATTTATACCTCTTCTTTCCCCCTTGAACTCAGATGTAAGGAGTTTTATTTAGGTTTGGAGAAAATTATAAAGGCCGAATGAAGAGGAATAAAAACATCATGCAGGGTTTAAAAGGATTATCAGGGTCCCATCATTGCTGGTCTCAGATTTTATTGCTTCCACTTCATTAATCCCACAACTACTCAGATTGAAGAGACACCAGCACGTGGACGAAGATTTCTGACAGTTTTATTCACAGTTCACATCAGTGTTCCTTTACTACCTGTCTCCTGGTATGTTAAAGACTATGATGAGTTATTTTACAGCCTACTTAATCCTACCCTTACAAAACCTGAGGAAGCTCCAGGTTCTGAGGAGCTTTCCTGTGATTCAGAGGATAGTCCTGGCTCCACAATGTCAATAACACCATCCCTCTGCTCTTTTTCAACAGCAGCTTTTACGCTCTTTGGGTTACATGCTTGGAACTGTATACTCAATTATATTAGCTCTTTAAAAACACTATTCCCAGTTTCCATACCGAAAAAAACCTTCCCTGTTTCTATAGCCATACAGTTATGGTGTCAAATCTGGAATGGTATTGAATATGTCTTATGTCAGTATGAGTACTATTTTAATGGTAGTATTATATAACAGCATCCTGGGTTATTTTCAATGAAAAGGCCTATAATCTAAAGCAAAGGAAGTCAGCATGCCATTTGCTAATCAAAGATCCAATCTGGCTTGTCTCCTGTAGCTCATGCATTTAATCCTAGTATCTCAGAATGTTGAGATCTGAGGATCACTGTTTGCCAGCTAAAGTAGAAAAGTTCATTAGACTCTTATCTTTCATTAACCAGCCAAAAGCCTGAAATGGAGCTGTGACTCAAATGGCAGAGTGCTAGCCTTGAGCAAAAAAAGCACAGAGTCAGCACTCAGGCCCTGAGTTCAAGCTGGGCACACACACATACATCAAGATCACTACCAAACCTTAGTGATGAGTACCCTATTCTTAAAAGAAAATGAAAACAGAACATGTCTATTACCTGCATAGAGCCTCAATGGCATCTCTGTCCAGAAAATCATGCTCTCTTTTGACCAAGGTAATATCAATGGGAAACAGGAGATCTGTTAAAAAAAAAAAATGGAAAAATTTATTGAGCACCAAGGTTCAACTCAGTATATAGGGGAAAAGAACTCTCAAAACAACGTAGTATCCTTGCATGAAGGACAGACCCCCCATTCTATATAACATTCTTCTGGAGAACAAAGCAGCTTCTCAAGATAATTCCATATCTAAAAGAGCCCACAAAGTATAAATACTTGCTATAAATTACAATTTAAGCCAAAATAAATCGATCAAAGAGCTTCCTTTTAAAATGTCGCTTTTAATTTTTAAACACGTACCTTTGTAAACAAGTAACAAGGGAAGAGACAATGGAAAAAGTGCAACTTAGCCAAGGAAAGATCTAGAGATCAATGGAGGTGGTTGTCAGTGGGACAAAACCCATCTTTATGATACCAAGAGCTAAACAGAACTCAAGATACGCTATTTTCAAGCAAAATTAGCCCTTCAATATGGTTTCTTAAGGAATCTATGTAATTCTGCTTAAAACAAAGGGCTAGATGCACAATTATTGGTAAAAAAAAAAAAGAACCAGAAAGGAGGGAAATAGAGAAGAAGAAAATACTCAACTCAAAGGAATCATTTCCTTCTTCATGCTGTCTTAAAAAGACTCCAGAGACATCAAAGAGTGACCTCCACAGCCTATGAGCGTTTGGGAGGGGATGGAAAGGTGAAGAAGGGGTTTGGGTACAGAATTGCTGAGGGATAATTTCTAATGTCAATAGCACACTATATTACCGATGGTAAAAACAATCATATTCTTTCAAAATGGCTAGTAGAGAAGGTTTTGAGATATGCCAATTGTCCTGTTCTGATCACTACTCACAATAAACAGGTACTAGAATGGGAAATTGTGCTTTGTAAATATGGGCAATTATCAAGTATCAATAAAAAATAACTAAACATATAATTATATTTGAAGTTATTTAAATTAAAACCTGTTTGGTAAGTAAATGTATACTGAAAGATAATTTTAAAAATTTACTTCTTGGGTTTCAGGTCTTGAAATAAAAAAAAAAAAATCTCTGCATTGAAAAAAAAAAAAAAAGATTCCTCACAGATAAAAGATATCCAAGATGAGCTGGGAGGAGAAAGACCAACAGTACCATTGTGGGATCGTACAAAAGACCTGAAATTCCACTGGATAAAGGCATTTCAGCTATCAGGGTAAATAATAGGCCTTCCCACTTGAAGGCATGTACAGTATCAGACTGCCTGCAACTCTGAGGATCAAAGTAAAGTGAAAGAAAGTCAAAGAAGGACAAAAAGTCATTACTGAAGGACTTCCATCATTTAAACAATGCCCTTCAGTAGCTAATGGGATAGCAACAGAGTTGACTAACTGTAACAAAGGTAACTAGTAACGATCTTGTTCTTGAATTAAGTCAAGTAAACATGATTTTACTAGTTGCTGACATACCCACTGGTTTTACAGAAAAGATGGAATTTCTTATCCCTACTCATTTGTTTTTTAGAGATGGTAGTTTAAAATACTTTAAAAAATAATGCTGAAAACAATCAAAATTAATTATTAATGGTAAGCTATTTTTTTAAGTCAAAAGTTGGAATACTGAGGTTGTTTTGTGAATAGCAAGGGCAAACCAATAAAATAGCTTCGGTCCAAAGACAGATGAAGAAATATACAGAATTCAGTATCACAAGATTGTATTTCTTCATTAACATATAGATTAGGTCTCTTAAGCAAATGACTAGTGCCTGTCATAGTGGACATAAAAAAGGATGGAAGTGGTGCTGTGGCTCAAGCGGTAGAGCGTTTGCCTTGAGCTAAAGAGCGCAGGGACAGTGTCCAAGCCCAGAGTTCAAGCCCCATGACCGACAAAAAAAAAAAAAAAGGAATTTTATGGTGAATGTATGGTGAAATGTAAATTAGAAAATAGAAGACCAACATTTCCTAGTCACTAACAGACATGTGAATTACATAACAACTGATATTAAATAACATGTTTTTAATACTTAGAGAAACATTAAATCCAAAACACAAATTAAAAAGCTCATATGCTTGTTAGGTATATGTGACAAAGCAACTGTGTTCTCTTAGCAAGTTATAACTTAGTATACCGATAGTTGTGCTTATGATTATTTTTTGGACCCATATTAACTACAATCCTGTTTTTTAAAGAAGGTGATAAGTGACTAAGTGTGAGAAATGTCAAGAATTACATCAGTAATTTCTCTTATTTGCATAGATTTTTTTTTCTTCTGAAAATAGGTTTCTAAGAGGAAAGCTTATTGATGTGGAGAAGCTTTTCGAACCCAACTTCCAGCTTGGTTTAAAAGCAGGAAGCAGATGGGCTGGGAAGGTGGCTCAGTGGTAGTGTTTGCCTTGCATGCTTGAGGCCCTGGGTTCGATTCCTTAGCACCACATAAACAGAAAAAGCCAGAAGTGTACTGTGGCTCATGTGGTAGAGTGCTAGCCTTGAGCTGAAGAGCCGAGAGACAGCACCTAGGCCCAAGAGTTCAAGCCTTAGGACCAAAAAAAAAAAAAAAAACAAGAAGCAAAAATTGTCAAGTACTAAATTAAAGCTCAACAGGAAGTGGAGGAATGTGTGGATTGGTATGTGGAGTGTCTATGCTCTCCCAGCTCCCGATGGCAGGATGGCAAGGAGAATGACAACCTGGGACAATGTAATGTACTCCTCACAGGTGAGCTGATGCTTCAAAGAACTTGGAAACACAAAAGATCCCCTAAATGTCTTTCATGCTGCATTTTACAGCTGTGAAGAAACAAGATAAGAGAACTGAGCTTGAACAAACAGAGGTGTCACAAAAAGGTGCCGCTCCACAGCAAACTAACACCAAAACATGGATGTAAATGAAGGAAATTTAATTTTAAACAGAACACAAAGACAGAAACTGTAGTGTTACTGCAAATATAATTATTTCTTCCTATTTCCAGGAGAGCTGTGAATTGGAAATTTAATTGAGTGCTATTTCCCTCCTCCTGCCAAATCTTTTCACAGGTCAAAAATTCCCTCACAAGGAAAGATAAGCAACACTACTAGGTATTAAACAGATATCTTCTTATTCTTAACAGGGGATCCTAAGAACCCAAATGCTTAGTGCAAGGGCTATATATAATGAAGCATATTAACATGAACTCCAACTTATGGAAACAAGGTTCTCATTAGATCCTATATATAGTTTGTTCTTTTTTTTCTATTTTTTCTTTCTTTCTTCATTTTTCTGAGCCTTTTGTACCTTGTTTTGCATAATCGCCATTGCAATATGTGGAAGGGAAAGGGAATCACAGAAACAGCAGGACAATGGATGATCCACAGCAACATTGATACTCACTTGACATTATATATGCTATGAACATTACAACTTGGGATGGGGGGAGGGGAGGAGGGAGGATAAGGAGGGGTAAGAAGGATGGGATAATGATGATTAAAAACAAATGTACTTATTGTCTAACCTATGTAACCGTACCCCCCCAGCTCATCACCTTTACAAAATTAAAAAAAAAAAAAAAGAACAGATATCTTCTTAAAAAAGAACAAAAAATAATTTGGAGGTATTTTGTGAAATGGTGTAATAGTAAGATATTTTAGATTTTAACACTACATTCAAACTCTGTTATCTTCATTGCAAAAAATATCAGTCTTTGTAACCGGAAGGAAGACTGGGTATTAGAAATTTAAAAAGAATCACTCTTCACCTAGATTTGTTTGAAAATTATCTACCAAATGGAATTTACTGGTTCAATTCTGTGATCGTTTTTAAATGACTTCATGTAGAGCACAATAAATCACCCATTTCAATGAATGGCTTGTTCATCTGAGCATGTGCAGAGCACATGCCAGGAACCCAGGAATCCTGAAAAGGCTCAGAGTATGAGGTAGACAAGGAAGTTCTTCCTTCTCTAGTCCTAGCACCTCAGTTCCCAGTAACCCTGCACCCCCCTTACATATCCAGGGCATTAATGAGATTATCAGAGAGCCATCAGACAGAATAAATTCAGCCCAGATGCTGATTCTATTTTTAAGTTTTATTTTTCTTAATTAAGGGATGGAAAACTGATTTACAAACAACTAATATTCAGAAGAGAGATCTGCAAGTCATGACCAACAAAGCATCACAATGTAGATTAAATTAAAGAGCTCTTAGAAATCATTTTAAAACAATGATCAACTTAGGGCAATAGCTCTGAGACATTTACCAAAAGAGAAAAACAGACAGCCAAATGACATAATCATCTATTGTCAGTAGAGATTAAGATAATGGAAGTAAAAATAAAAAGCTAAGCATCATCCTATACCATATTTCACTGGCAAAAATTAAAGTCTGACTATATCAAGTATTAAGTGTATATGGACACATCTTTATTGGTAAGAGTAAAAATCTATATGAGCACCCTAGAATAATTTGCATAATCAACAGAAGGTATATTTTTTACTACCTAGTAACTAATTCCCATGTATACATAAAAGATAAATTACTATACATGTACTGCCCAAGACAAGTACAAAACTCTTCAAAACAGCACAGTTTATACAAACAATTGAATATCCACCAATCAGTTTGACTGCCAATAGCGTGTGTGTGTGTGTGTGTGTGTGTGTGTGTGTGTGAGAGAGAGAGAGAGAGAGAGAGAGAGAGAGAGAGAGAGAGAGAGAGAGAGACGGTAGTAAGGTTTGAACTCAGGGTCCAGGTACTGTTCCTTAGCTTTTTCACTCAAGGCTGGTGCTCTACTTCCCACTGTTTGGTGTTTCACTGAGCTTCCTGCACTTTCCTGCCTGGGCTGACTTTGAATTATGATCCTTAAGATCTCAGACTTCTGAGTAGCTAGGATCACAGTAAGCCACTGGTTCCTGATCTAGCTTTTCTTCTCAGTGGTGGGGGAGGAAGGGGTCTTTCAGTACTCACTACTACATCATTTTTGAAAGTGAAATGTTTAAAGAACAAAATGTCTGAAAATAATTCATAGATCAATAACTATAAACCAAAAATTATGTCAATTTAAATAAAGACAGTATTCCTGGCTTACCTTCATAAAGCTGTGCATACTGGGGAAAACCAGTTGCTCGAAGCCAGTCGCAAGCTTCCTTGGCCTCAATTTCTACAATAGAACAGAAGAAAGGCAAAACGGTTAGACACGTATTTGACTCTTCACATGTTGCTATTTCCTTGATAAGTTGATTTTAGTAGATAAGCAAGTCTGTTTGGCTATGCAGACCAACACAAAACCTCTCATAATTCAAATGCTTTAAATTTTTATAAATCTTTTCATATAATTATATAATTAGCTGTCTACCCTTTAGAGAAAACACAGGGATGAACATGTAGCCCCATGATAGAGCACTTGCTTTGTATATTCAAGGCCCTGGGTTCAATCCCCAACACTGTGGAAAGAAAAAAGAAAAAAAGGGGGAAAGCCCCCCACATGAAAATGGGACCCTAAGAGTAAATTAAATTGCTACTTCTATAGTGCTCGGGTTACAGGTGATTATAAAACCAGAGCAGTAATACTAGCTACTCAGGAGGCTGAGATCTGAGAATCTCAGTTTGAAGCCAGCCCAGACAGAAAAGTCTGTGAGATTATCTCCAATAAATTACACACACACACAAAAAAAACCGGAAGTAGATTTATGGTAGAGTGCTAGCCTTGAGTGGAAATGACTCAAAAAGAGCACTCAGGCCCTAAGTTCAAACTCCAGAACTAGCAAAACAAAACAAAACAAAAGCAACACAAAAAGACAGAATGAGAAAGTTGAAAAGGGGCCCAATAAAAAATTTCAAGCCTGGATGGCTGCTGGCCTGGCTGCTCTATTACTTTTAACTTCATCAAAAATCCACCGAATACATCCTCAACCTAGAGAAGGACTTACTGGGGCACAGTTATAAACCATGTGACACTCAGGGGCTGGGCCAGATATTACTGCAAAGTGACTTTAGGTAGACCGGTATTAGTTCTAGAGGAGAGAGGCCCAGAGGCCCAGGCTGCCCGTCAGGAGGGCATCCCAAAGCAAATCCCACAGCCTTGGCAAGTTGCAAGGCCTAATCAAGCTCTTCCTTCCCTGTGGTTAAACATCTTGTAGATAGTATTGATAAACAGAAAGGCCAAGAGCAACTGACATGTGGTGTTAAAACTCACTCAAGCAAGCATTTACAATCCTGTTAAAACTGACTCACACAGGAGGTCCAGGGTACATTAATTAGTTTCTCTGTTTGCACAAAGAATATTCCTTTCAACTCCTCTTCCCACTCTCCTCATGCCATTAAGAGTACTTAGTTACGTAAGGCTATTCACTCCTTTGTAACGGGTCTCCGCACACTGCTTAATTCATCCCAGATTCAAATCTTCATTAAGCTTCTTTCTCTTCTGAGCCACAAAGGAGACCGATGGTCATTGAGAGAAGTACACACATCTTATTTTTGCTTACTAACTTTATGGTTCCCAAGCATTCTGGTTTTGGGGTTTTTTTTTCTTTTTTTTTGCCTATTTTTTTTTCATGAGTTCCTTGGTCTTTTCAAAAGGTAATCAAGAAAATTCAAATCTACCAAAATAAGTAGGAGTATCTGAATATTGAGTACATTGAGGAGTAAAACAACCACCACATTTTCCATGCTGGTTAATATCCAAACTATAAAACAATTATGGCACTAGAGTGAAAATAATTGGCACGGCAAAGCTTACTTTCATGTGTCTTTCCAGTATATCGATGAAAGCAGCAGTATTAAAAAGACAAGATTCAGGACTGGAGGGACACAGATTAGAAAAGACTTCAATGTTTGCATCAACTAAACCAATATGTAGAATGGTTCCATGTGACCACTGAAACTTAATCTTTTTTTTTTTCTTTTTTGGTGGAACTGGAGTTTTGAACTCAGTGCCTTATCCTCGCTAAGTAGGTGTTGTATTACTTTAGCCAGCTTTTGTCCCTATTGGTTATTTTTGAAATAGGGTCTCAATTCCTGCTTGGGCACACATCTAGACTTCAATCTGCCCATTTATACTTCCCACAAAACTAGATGGCACTTGTCACCACATCCAGCTGTTGGTGCTAGTCAAGAAGGGGTCTTAACATTATTTATTTATTTATTTATTTTTGCCTGGGCTGGCGGATACTCCCTCTTTCAGCCTCCCAAGTTAGTTAGGATTACAGACATGAACCACCAGCACCCAGCCTAAGCTTAACATTTTGTATTATTTATGTATTTATACATAACCTTGTCTCTGTAAGGAATTAGAGAAGTTTCAAATTATAAAAAATACTTTCTAGGAAATTATATTGTGAGGAGGAAAAAAAAAAAAGGAAAGTTCAACGTTTTTTTTTCTTATTTTTTTCTTTTTGCCAGTCCTGGGGCTTGAACTCAGGGCCTGGGCACTGTCCCTTAGCTTCTTTTGCTCAAGGCTAGCACTCTACCACTTGAGCCACAGTCCTACTTCTGTTTGTTTGTTTTTTTTTCTTCTGTTTATGTGGTATGGAGGAATGGAACCTAGGGCTTCATGAATGCTAGGCAAGCACTCTACCACTAAGCCACATCCCCAGGCCCAACATTTCATTTTTTAAAGTGAATACTTTTTCTCTCAGTGTCCATACTCTCCACAAAGAGAGGTATGGAAAGAATAAAAAGGGGCGTACCTTTTAAAAATATTTATCTTAGATAACTCACTACTTCTGGTACCTAACCTTCAGAGTTACTGTCACTGAACAGATTATTAGACATTGGACAAGATAGTCGAAAAATAGTTTATAAATATGTTTGCTATTTTAATAGTTTATTTGGCAAGTGGTAAGGAACCAGAATTTCTCAATATCAATCTTTTTTTTAACTATATTGAAACTTGATACCAGGTCAGTGCACATATAAAAGCCTTAATTAGATACTTGTGCTTATTTTCTACCGTTAAGTAAATCCAATGCTCTTACGTATCCCAAAGTGAATCTAGACGCAGCAGTCAGTGTTATAACTGCTTGGCTAGAAAATTATGTAAACAGGCAAAGGGTTTTTCTTTAGTAGATAATTCAATTAAAAACTGAAACAATGGCCCAAAAGCAATCTACCTTTTTTTTTTTTAACTATGAAAATACCATACAGAGGAGGTTACAATTACATGGGCAAGGTAATGAGTACATTTCTTATCAAGCACAATCTACTTTTAAGAACCTTAGAGTTTCAATAATTTTACCCTTCCTTTTCTTCATCCTAAAATGATCATTTTTTCATACTTAGAACCATGGTATACAGCCAGGGCTGTTATAACTATTTTGCATTATCAATATCCATTCACTGCATGATAAATGAAAACTTAATTTGGTAGAAATCTGAATTAGAGCCATGCTCTGGTGGCTAATGCCTGTAATCCTATCTATTTCAGGAGGCTGAAATCAAGATTCAAAAACAGCCTGGGAAGACAAATATGACTCCATTTAAGCAGTAAAAAGCTGGAGGAGGAGGTATGGTTCAAATGGTAGAGCCTCATCCTTGAGGGGAAAAGTCAAGACGTAAGGCCCTGAGTTCAGTCTCCAGTATAGGCAAAAAAAAAGTCTGAACTAGAAAACTGGGGGGATGGGGGGTGCTGTCACAGTGGGTTTTTTTTCTTTTAAATGGAATAGTTATAGATCTCACCCCTACATGTTCCAATTAATACAAGGAGGTACTAACCATCAAATATAAATACTTAAAAAACATGATTTGTAAGATGAAGTGAACCTGGTCTACAGCCAAGTCAGGTAAAGAATGTGTTTGAAGTTTTACTCCCCAATTCAAGCCATTACTTTCTTTCATTTTCAAACTAAAATTCCTCCTCTTTCCAGAGTATCTATAACCCGGGTTCACCAAAATTCCTGAGTTACAGTTTAGATGCCATCTGTCCCCCACACTGCCTACATCATCAGTCTAGACAACTCAAGAGTAGTTTTCAAAGCTCTCCACATGGCATCTTAGCTAATGTTTCAGTTTCCAGTTCTCCCTCAGTCTGGTCAAAGTAAACTTGGTGCCGATCTCCGGCCCCTCTCCCTTTCTCTGCCTAAAATACCCTCCCATTCCTTCAAGATCAAGGTCAATCCGAAAGCCTCCATCTTCTGAGTCTGTGCAAAGCCTGATCTGAGCACTGAGTGTCAGGCAGTTCATTTAATTCAGGTTTATACCATCCCCCAGATAAAATGATGCTAAGAGCCAGGTGCCAGTGACTCATGCCTGTAATCCTTGCTACCTGGATCCCAGGTTCAAAGCTAGCCTCGGTAGGAAAAATCTGTGAGAATCTTACTTCCAATTAACCACTAAAAAACCAGATGTGGAGCTGGAGCTGTGCCTGAAGTGAGCCATGAGGCCCCTGACTGTCAGAAAAAAACAAACACCACAAAATAAACTTTCTACTGACCCATGCTACGTTGGGAGAGAGAATGAAGACTTACAGAATTGCCAACTCTCTTCCTGTAAGGCAGGTTCATTCCTTTAGCAAGAAACAAAATTTAAACTAGTAAAGAAAAACATTCACCTAACACTTTAGTCACCTTAATATCTGCCTAGGCTAGTTCTGGGGACTTCTGGTGGCCAGGGTATGATTTTTTTCCTTGAGGATATGTGAGTGGTGGTGTGAAAACAAAGAGGAGGATATTTAAAATAAATAAATAAATATTCCCCACTGGGCAAAAATGCCATCTAAATAGACAAATACAATGGAAACACAATGAGTCTTTTATACCTGGGCTTTTGCTAAGCAAGCAACAGACAAATGTGTTAAGGAGGAAACAGGAAATTTTTATTGGAAGCAGCTTTAGTCCTTGGTCAATTCACAAAGCGGTTCTGCACTGTTAGCTTAATAAGGACCAGGAGACTCTGTGCATGGCTGGAAACCATTAGGCCATAGGTACACATTTCCTGATATGATGAGATGTCCCCATTTCCAGTTATCCCTTTAAGTCGGCAGAAACCCCCTAAACCCATCAGCATTCTGCTGGGCTCAGTTGATCCTACTGATTGGGTCTAAGTGGGATAGTGTTCCTTCCTCTTTTTATCTGCTGAAGGGTCATAGTGGAAGCTCTCATATTCTTTCCTTCTTCCCCAACACACCCAGCAAATTAGGACAAATGCAAACGTAAGTTGCATTTG